CCTCTCTGCCGCCCGTGGGGTGCGCGGTTCTGGCAAGCAGTTCTAGGCCCTCCCGGAGTGGTGCAGTCGTCCACAGCCACCGGCGTGGGTACGCTAAGGTCTAGAAGTACTTCTGTGGCTGCCTGGCACTGGGGGCTTCTCTGCGGCCACCCGCCACCCGCGGGAGGGGGGTGGGTCTGGTAAGCAGTTCTGGGGCCCGCTTTGTACCTGTATTTTATGTTCTTAAATGATCTTCCTTGGATTTATAGCTTGCCGAACTTCTTTCTGGGCTCAGCTCCCCGTCTTTGACTTCATAGATTCTGATTCCAACCAGTTTTTCTTCCTTTGTTCAGGAGCCTCTGACCAGGGTTGCTACCAGTCAGCCATCTTCCCAGAATCCAAGCCTCTTAATTCTAAACTCAAAACTATGTACTTCAGCTCTGCCATCAGCACCAGGCCCACCATAATCATTTTTTTTTAAGTTAAATCATAGCTGTGTACATTAATGCAATTATGGGGTACAATGTGCTGGTTTTATATACAATTTGAAATACTTAATATTAATATGTTATCATTTTTTACCTCAACTACAGGAGGAGATTATTTCTCCAGCCTTATCTATTCTCCATTTGTTTCTTTTGCTGCTGGAACATCTTTTCAGTGCTCCAGTGTACTCTGCTCCTTTTGTCCTTTGCATATGCTGTTCCCTCTACTCAGAGTTTGCTTCTCCAGCCTCAACCCTCATCCCACAATCTTTCTTTAAAAAGGATCACAGCCTTCAGCTCACAGTATAAATGTCACTTCATACTGGCAGCTTTCTTGAACTTTCCTCTATTTCTCTTTTAACACAGTTGTTCAATTATAATTAGAGAATTGATCATGCAATGAGTTGTTAAACATCTCTCCTCCTTTTTCCTCTTGTTTACAAAATCTAAAGTTCTCTGAGAGTGAGGAGTATTTCTGTCTTGATTGCTGCTATTTCTCCATAGCCTAACACAGAGTATTACGCATGATTGACCCTCAGTTAACTTCTCAAATGATGCATGATCGGTTAATGTCAATTTATGCCAAAAGTTATCAAGATTGTTTTGGTGTTAGTAGTTCATTGTAGTTCAAAATGATGGCCACACATAAATACTGAAAAGAAAAAAAGGTGTATGTTTTTCTAACATGTTTATTCTGTAGTTAACATAAAACATTTGTTAATATCCCAATTTAGGTTGTAATAAATTATTCTGTGATGGAGAAGCTGACATCGGTTATTGGAATAAATATGAGGACACTACTTTTTTTTCTTTTTCTTTTTTTTTTTGTCTGGGACTGGGTTTGAACCTGCCACCTTTGGCATATGGGGCCAGTGCTCTACCCCTTTGAGTCACAGGCACAGTTCCCCGAGGACACTACCTTTCTAAGGGAGAAGTTATAAATGAATTGTTTATTTTTATTTGTGTAGTTTGTTTCGCTTATTTTATATACTTTGAGTCATTGAATATTACAAAGAACAACAAAAATTTGGGAAGCTAATGACAGTGGTGGGTCTCCGAGACTCTGCATTCTGGTAAGTTAAGTGGCCACTTTACCTGTGTGTCATTCATTAGTCAATAGAGAAACTCATTAGGTTATTAAAAAAAAACAGATCTTATAAACCACTTATGAATTTTTCTTGCAATAATTCAAACTCATTAGCTTACCTGCATTAGATAAGATTCTGGGAGTAGAAAATAAGTAAGAAATGTGTTATGTTTCCGTGAGTTGAAGAAAGATATACGATGTATGTGGTATCAGTTACTTATTGCCAGAAAAAAATGCTGCAGAGAAACCACCCAAAACCCAGTGACCTCAGGTAATAATTACTTATTCATTCTCAGTTGTCTGTGGCAGAATAGAGTTTGGCAGGTCTGCTTTGAGGGTAGCCAGGCTTGGATTCCAAATGCAGCTCAGACCCAGGTCTGCTCCATGCAACTCATCCCTCTTGGGCTTTAGGCTTGCTGGTCATGTTCTTCTCATTCATTCACAGAAACATGAGAGGGAAAATCCACATGCACAAGCCGAATGGGGTAAAATCTCATTGGTTGCAGCAAGTCCCATGGACACATTGAAGTCCAGGGGCAGAGAAGTATTCTGCCCAAAGCAAACAGGAGATTAAGCAAGTCAAATCGACAAGCCCACAGTTAACAGTATGGGGAATCATACTCCTTTCAAGAAAACGAGGAGCAGAAAGAGAAGTAGAAAATTGTGGATGATAAACTAATTTACTGCAGTCATATTGAGGGCAAGTCATGTAGCCAGTCACATAGTTTTTGGGTGGAATCAGTCAAGACCATCTAGTCCTATTAAGTGAGGCACTATGTTTAACTCACATAGTAGGAACAGAGTTGGGTCTGTGTTAGTGTGTGGTAAAATGCACCTCTCTCTATGCCCAGGTGTCTATGTATCTATTTCTCCATCCATTTCTCTACTGTCCCTTTGCCCCTAGACTTTGAGATAGTGTACAATTACAGTAACATAGTAAATATTGAATAAAAGTAAAGCAGTCTGGTCTATAATCATAAGATAATAGTCAACATTTTTAAGGACTTTGTTCCAGACATCACTTCCAGCCTGTACTCTTATATCTTTATTTTGTAGGTAAAGAAACTAAAGCAGAGAAAAGTTAAGGTTTTTGCCTAAAACCATATGGCTTATAAACAATAAATCAAGGAAACAAATCCAAGAAAATAGCCCTCTTTTCACCACTGAGCTGTATAACTGAAAGAAAATTAATAAAATGAAATTAATGATAAGATAGAAAAAGCCATTGGTGAAACTAGCCTGTAGAAATGAGTACTACTTTTTTTTAAAGCATTATTAGAAGTATTAAATTTGGACTGATTTCTTAGTATTTTTAATTGTATCATAGTTATACATACCTTGGGGTAACGTGATTTTTTTTTACTTATTATTTTATTTATTAAATCATAACTGTGAACATTGATGCATTTATGGGGTATAATGTACTGATTTGAAGCACAATATGACATTTTGATACATGTATACAATCTATAATGATCAAATCATTAGAGGGTAAATGGGAAATACATCACCTCAGATACTGGATCCAAATTTCAGAGCGCCACTTTCCTGATACAAAACTGTGGAGGGTGCCAGATTTTTGTGGGCTAGAGTTTTCTTTTTTTTTTTTTTTATTATAATAGCTGATGTTATCTCAGTTATTGGAGTCTTTTAAGCATGTTCTCTTCCCTACTTTTCAAAGACAAGGAAAAGATATTTTAAGGAATAAAATGATAAACTATGTCTAAAAAAGTCACCAATTTCACTCTTTCAATTTCCACCAGAACCTCATTGCCAGATGCAAGCATTTGGGTACTGAGGTAAAGCAGCTATGCTTTTTTATAAAGCCCTTACACTTCTGATGTATTATACTCTCTCCTACTTACCCCACATAAGGTTCTAGTATGCAGCATTCTCATGTATCAGAAGTTTATTTTATTTTTTTTTATTACTGGCACTGTTTCATGATACAGCTGGATCTCTGTTTGCCCTTTCAACCTTTGTAGGGGATACAAGTTGTTTCCAGTTTGGGGGAGTCATGAATAAAACTGCTATGAATATTCACACTGGTTTTTCTGTGGACATAAGTTTTCATTTTTCTGGGAAAAAATACTTCACAGTATGTTTGCTGAGGGTCATACAGTATTTGTTTAAAACACATCTTTCCATCTATTTTCACAGATTTTCAAAAGCAACGATGTTTTGGCTCTATGATATTGGATCACAGTTGTACAACTATAACCCTCATCACACCTCTCACTTCTTTGGAGTTTCATGTTTCTTAGCACTATGGTATTCTGATTTTTAAAAACAACATATTCACTCTGGAAGGCTGAGGTAGGTAGATCACCTGAGCTCAGGAGTTTGAGACTACCCTAAGCAAGAGTGAGACCCTCTTCTCTACTAAAAACAGAAAAAACTAGCCAGGTGTTGTGGTGAGCACCTGTAGTTCCAGCTGCTCAGGAGGCTAAGGCAAGCGGATTGCTTCAACCCAAGAGTTTGAGGTTGCTGTGAGCTGTGACCCCACGGCACTCTATCCAGGGCACAGAATGAGACCCTAACTCAGACAAAACAAACATAACAATACAAACCAATATAGTAAGTGGCCAATGTCAACAGCCATGTGACCTTTACTTTACATTGGGAAGATTTCACTTAAACATTCAGAAGGATTGTATACTTGGGTAGGAGTTAGTACAGTAGTGTAAATAAGGAAGTTTGTCCTTTTTCCACTGACATCTTATATAGTCACTTAACTGAAATAATAGACTTATATTTAATTTCCTTATTTTAAAATTTGTCCTATAATTGTAGAGATGATTACTAAAATGGCTACTCTGATGCCACATGCTATGCTAACATCTTCACGTTCATTACCTCTTTAAATTTCCAGAATAACCATATGAAGTAGCTATCATGATTGACCCCATTTTAAGATGAGGGTGAGAGAAACTAAGTAATTCTCCTGGAGTCACACAGCGAGAGGGTGCATGACCACACTTTTATAATGAATTTGACCCTCATAGTTTGACCTCAGAGCTATTACCATTTTGTGTGTTGACTCTTCAAAATTTATATGTGTGTGACATGTTGAATTAATACCTTGTTTCTACCTTAGGGTCTCCTGGGGATTGAGGTATGCTGGCTTTATCTTTTTTTGTGTTCATTTTTATGGCTTTGATCATTACATTGACGCCAATTATGGTTCATACTGGCTTCCTGGTGATATTCACACTCTTTAGCCTACACGGCCTGTCTTTGGTGAGTTGGTAAATACTTCTTACCCTGTTTCAGGTCACTGATATATGAGCAAGTGATGATGTTTCTTTGGGATAATAGTATAGTCACTAAATTTCTATCCTGTTTTCTAACTGTTTTTGGCAATTTAAGAAATTAAGGAATATTTATATTTGTGATTCTCAAATCCTATATACCAATAGGAATTCCTATGGATTCCTGTGATTCTCAATTCCTATATACCAATAGGAATTCTTGTTTCTTCCTCCAGATTGGCTTTCCTGATAAGCATGTTAATAAAAAAACCCTCTGTTCACTGGTTTGGCTGGATTTCTCTTCACTGTATTTTGAGGATGTCTGGGGTTCACTGTATTACACAGACAACTTCCATTACCTTTGGAATGGCTATTTGGTCTTCTTAGCTCTGTTGCCTTCTCTGCTGGAATGGCTCAGGTAAGGACACAATTATTTTACGATTTCATTTATTAGATTTTCAAAACATGTTCTTATTCAAGAGTTTGGTGCTTCATGAAATTTAAAGATCAATCATTCAATATTTTAAGAAATTCTGCTTGAAATTATTTAAACAATAAAAATGTCTTATCTAAGTAATAAAACAGGCAGATAATTTGTAAAATCGTAGCAAATTTAAAGAAGAAAAATAATTGCCCAGTGTCTGACCACTCAGACGTGAGGTTGTGTGTAATGAGAGAGACCACAGGACACTGCTCAGCATCCCATGTCCACCACCTCTGCTGGGTGACATCGGGGAAGTAAAGGAAACTAATTGCAATTCTTTTTTTTTTTTTTTTTACATACTTATAACTTAACAAAACACTTTTAGTTAGAATAGGGATTGGGACAATGCTCTCCAGTTGAGGAATAGTTTTTATTTTTAGCCATGCTTTCTCATGCTTTCTCTTCCCGTATGAGGGACATCTTACATATGGGATTGGTTTAAACCCCAGTGGAAATCACAGACCAGTGATGCCTCTTCTTTAACATGCATTAGAATTATCTAAGGTCTTGTTAAAAAAGATCGCTGGGCACCACTCTCGGCGATTCTGATGTATGACGCCCTCGGGGAGGTCTGAGGATGAGCACGTCTGACAAGTACCCCGGTGATATCGATGGTGCTGGTCTGGCTGTACTGTGAGAACCGCAGGGATAGAGGAGTCAGGGTCTCCATAGTTCGCTGACGCTCACTCCGGCTGAATGGACTGAGCAGTGCTTTTGAGTGTCATAGACATCTCTAATGCTGCCGTGACTTTTGTAGTAACCTTATTTCCACAGCCTCTATTGTTAGGCTTTTTTATTTTCTTATCGTCTAGGTTTTGAAACGTGTACATCACTTGGCTGCTTGTTATGTGCCCTTTATTGGCTTTCGTCTGCTTTTCTTCCTGGCTTATCTTAAATTCTGGGGCTTTCGTCCTTGATTTCAGGTTAAAAGTGACAAGGCTGAGTTATTGAGCACATCCTGTGTAGCAGATACTGAATTATTACTTTACTCAGCATTATTTCACTGAACCCCCACTAATGCCTCTGAAGCTGAGATCACGCCCATGCTGCAAATAGAAAGACAAGGTGCAAAAGTCAGCTGCTCATCACTGGGCTTCCGCTGACCACGTGCAAACCCTGCTCAATGATGACTTTGGTTTGTTAGCTCTGTCCTTTCGTGTGTCTGCCCCTCTTTATCCTTCTACCACGCCTTCCTATTCAAGTGCTACTCAAAGGTCCAAAGCCGAAAAAGAGAGTCAGGACAAGAAGAATAAGTGACCACAGAAAAACCCGTGTGAATTTTAAAGAACAGTGGTTTTTCATGGAAGATTATAAGAAGTATAAAAAAGAGGAATGCAGCTATGAAGACATTGTTTTCTAGCTTAGGAAAAGGAAACAGTCATGGTTCTACTAATAGAAAGGAGGAAGTTTAAAAGGGAAGTTGATTCCGAGGAGATGCCAGTAATGGTTTTGGATTTAGTACATTAGGTGAAGCCGAGGGTACATCCCAGCAGAGACTTTCTGTAGGATATTTAAGGAGTAAGGGGAAAGTGCAGGGAAGTAGCTGAGAGGGTGCACACCTGGAGAATCATCAGGGTGCAGTGGAGGACGTGTGGGGAAGAGTTGGGAGAGAAGCAACAGAGGAGGGAAAATTTATCTGTGGGGTGGACCATATGAAAATGGGAGAGAGGAACAGACCCGGGCACCAGCAGTGTCAGCAGCTCAGGGTCAGACAAAAGGGCCCACCATATGGGCAGCACTCCTCTCCAGGGGTGAGACCAGAAGGCGGTGTGCAGACCCCGATGTTGCTCTTCCCTTACACCGAAGGTTGTGCATTTGTTCAGCCCCTGCGCTCGGGTTTTTCTCACGTTGTAGACTATCTTTTCCACTGTTTTATTTTCCACTTTCTCAAGTCCACCTGTATTCACAAAAAAAAAAAAAAATCTTTTCTTCAGTCTATTGTTATAATATCATAAATCACCCTCTCTGGAAAATAACTTAGATTTATAGAAAGATCCATCAGTGTCTTAAAGATTGTTTATGCCTCTGAGGGCTACAGAGTGAGTCTCTGTCACAAACAAACAAGCAACAAGCACAAGATGTGGCTGTATAGACTAGTAACACAAACAATGAGCAGTTTTATTAATAAAGTGATGCATTTATTACTTCTGGAATACCCTGCTGCATCTGCTCCCTGCCCTAATTGATACTTGAAACTGTTATCAAAGATTTATAATCATTTCGGATAGTCAGTTTCATTTTGTTAATCAAGATTCACTTTAATAACTAAGAAAAAGCTAGTGAAGTCCAAATCATAACTTCCATCTCATAAGCAATGCTAAACTCTCTCCCAATTTCCTTTCCAGTCTGCCCTCAGTTCAGGGATCAGTGGTGAGAAAGGAAACAGCATCTCCACTTTGATTCTTTTTCTTTCTTCAGGATTATCCTTCCTCCTGCAGTGTTTTGGGCACAGGGTGGAGGGATTGGAGTAAAGGGATCAAAGTTTTACCTATTTGAGGGAAGTTATAATTACTTGGCTGGTCTTTGTGAGTAGTAACCGAAAGCAACCAGTTGAAAAATTCGATATGCCAGCAGAAATCCTAAGGGCTCCTCAATTGCTTCTTAGCCTCTAAATCTCATCCCCAGTTTGTCCAGGTTTGTGCTATGATGGTCAAATGTTATAGCAAGGTAATGTCTTCTTAACCATTGGTGCTGGTCTTTGATCTTTGTGGGTTTTTTCTCATGCAACCCATTATGCAGGTAGACTTGTCAGTGTCTCTTTTTTTTTTTTTTTTTTGAGACAGAGCCTCAAGCTGTCCCCCTGGGTAGAGTGCCGTGGCATTACAGCTCACAGCAACCTCCAACTCCTGGGCTCAAGCGAGTCTCCTGCCTCCGCCTCCCAAGTAGCTGGGACCACAGGCGCCCGCCACAACGCCCGGCTATTTTTTGGTTGCAGCCATCATTGTTGTTTTGGCGGGTCTGGGCTGGGGATTCGAACCCGCCACCTTAGGTGTACGTGGCTGGCGCCTTAGCCGGTTGAGCTATAGGCGCTGAGCCAGTGTCTCCTTTTAATGAAGTTTTTGCTTTACATATTTTGAGAGATCGCATAACTAGAGTGTTTTATATATTTGCTACATTCAAGTCGGGAATTATTACATAGCCATGGTATTCTCCTAATAGTTTATGGTCATAATGGCAAATGTGTCTGATGTTAATATAGGTACATCAGATTTGTTCTGTTCAGTATTTGCTTGTAAATCCTTTTTTTTTTTTTGCCACGTGTTTACTTTAAACTTTTCAGTGTCCTTGTGCTTTAAAGTGTGTCTCACATAAAACTAATATGGTTAGAGATTTTATCTGTTGTCTTTTGATTAAATCTGATAATCTCTGCTTTTAAGGTAAAGCGTTCATGGTGATTGTTGATGTGTTTGAAGTTATTTACACTATTTCACTTTTTGCTTTATACATATGATATACTTATGTGATTTCGTCTTTTTGCTGTCTTTGTAGTTTGTTTGAATTTGTTTTCTCTTATTTGGTATTTTACTCTCTTCTGGTTTGAAACTCATGCATTATATTTTATTACTGTGAGGGTTATCCTTTGTATTCGTTTTCTAGAGCTGCAGTAAAATAACCACAAACTGAATCATTTAAACAACAGAAATGTATTTTTTCACAATTCTAGAGGCTGGAAATCCGAGGTCATGGTATTGGGAGGGTTGGTTTCTTCTGAGGCTTCTTTCCTTCTCTTATCCGTGGCTGCATCATCTCCCAGCATTTTTGCAAGGTCTTCCTTCTGAGTTTATCTCTGTCTTAATCCCTTTTCACGAGAACAATGACCTTGTTGGGTTAGAGACTACCTCAGTGGCCTCATTTGCCCTGAATTATCCATTTAAAGACTCTAAGTGTAGTCACATTCTGACGTACTGGGGTTAGAATTTAAGCATATACATTTTAGAAGTACACAACTCAGTCCATAACAGCTCTGAACAATTTTCTTTATGTGTTGAACTTGGCAAAGCCTAAAGTTAAATATCCTTTGGTTACTAAATATCCGATGGTTACTAAATATCCTTTGGTTACTAAATATCTGATGGTTACTCCCATTGCTGCGTTTTGGAGACTTTGTAACTGGTAATTGCTCACCTACTTTCGTGCTATTGTCTTGTGTTTTGGTTCTCTCTTTTTCTAATCTTCAAAATAAAAATTATTTTAAGCACTTTAAAATGTTTGCATACATTTGAAATCAATGTATTTGTTCACTATTTACACTTGGAACTCAGTCTCTTTTTTTCTCTCTCTTCTTTGAGGTCATGTTTTTGTCCCCCCCCAACCCCCCATGCATCATTTATATATTCTTTTAAAAAGGTCAATTAGCTATAAACTCTTTCGGTTTTTTGCTATCTTTTCCCACCCTCACTCTCAAAATACAATTTGGCTGCAAGGCATTCATCGGTTGCCAACTATAATCTCTTATAATTTCACTGAAAATTCACTCCCTTATTGCATTTTTGGTGTTTATCTGCTGTCAGTCTAATTGCAGGCCTGTTAGAGGATCTCTGTTTGACTACGTTAACTATCCTGGACTTCAGTGTTTTTAATTTTGTTGCAATGTTTCTGGTGTCGATTTCCATTTTTTTCCAAATAAATTGTGCTACTTGGAATTCATTTCTGTCATCAGGTCAAGAAAGTCATGGCCTTTCAGCATGGCCTCTCTCTATATCCTCTGATATCCTGTAGTAGGTAGAAGTTGCTTCTCTGGCTATCTTGGCATTTTTTACTCCAAGCCTCTTTTGAAAATTATCAAACCGTCCTTTTCTGGCATTAAATGCTCCAGTTTTAGATCCTTGGCCTTTCTTTTGCTTTGCTTTGGCCTTTCTTCTAGCTGTCCTGCTCCCTTTTATTTTACTGAAAATAAAAGCTGCATTTTCAATATGAGATTAAAAGGCATTTCACACAAAGGACAAGCATTTCAGGCCTTCTGGTGTGGCTGCAGTGATGGCTTCATAAATTCCCTTTGCTTTTCCTACAACGATCTTTCCTCTGGATTAATTTTGAGCAACCACAGGCAAAGACTGCTGTGGTTGACCTAGATCGATAGTGTATATGAAAATTCCACTTTTCCTTTTACTGTCATGACTCTGTTCTGCTTTGGGGGAGCATTCCCAGTGTCACTAATGACACTTCATACAAGTCCCATCATGTTGTTCGAGATTTATTATATTGCACTAAACATGGTGAAAAATATGCAAGAATCACTAAAAATTGCTTTTTACTGACACATGCAATTTACTGGAAAGACTCACATGGAGATGATTAGTACCCCACAGTGAACAGATACTTGCAACACTTGAGCTCACCATGACAGTAAAAAGGAGTGGCTATGAAATTATCATAATAGTACAGTATGTATGACATTTAATTCTATGCAATTATGTTTTAATTATTCATCTTTACATCTGTTTACATTTCTCTTGGCTAGAAATGGCATCGTGTATGCTCTGTAAGCCAGTGTGCAAGTTTTGATACAGTTTAACGTTTGTAATAGATTTGTATATATTTTATGATAGTAAATGATAAGATAGGCTAACATCTACATGCATACAAACTTAATGTTTTTAGTATTTCGAGGCTGTAGGGTTCACTTGTAAGTTTTTGAAATTTTCACAGATCTTCAAAAATTTTTCCAATATACTTATGGAAAAAAAAGTCCATGAAGAAGTTGACCCATGCAAATCAAACCTGTTCTCTTCAAGGATCAGCTGTGTATATTCTTTGCAATGTGATGTAGATTTTTACCAAAGGGAGGGCAGAAGCTAGAGAGCCCACTTAAGAAACTACTAATGTAGTGTGAGGGGGAATATAAGCTGCCCTTGATGGTGCTACCCACATTATTTTTTTCTGGGGATATTCTAAACTGTTCAATATTCCTACCTTGGATGCCAAGATAGATAATTACCATATTTCTCCTACTGCTTAGTTACAGCAACAAATACCAACCTCAGGCTTATTTTGTCCTTTTTCCTTTTAAATTTCCAAGTCATATCAGCAGTTAATTCTTAACTGTCTCTTAGTACTGAAAGCAGATGAGAATTTATGGTAATAAAGTAAACGATATTATATTGCCTCTTTTACATTTTTGTTTGTAACATATGGGGCAGTACAAAAGTTTTTAAGATATTTTTGTCAGACATTATCGTAATACTATGTTTTCGTTGCAATTATAGTTTGATGCTTGTTAAGGAAGACATCCTAACAGTATTTCTACATATAAGTCAAAAGTCAAAAATGAAAATATCTTAAAACATAAAATGTTAAATGAGAAATGTATAATACCTGTGTTTTTTTTTTCTTCTAGGTCTCAATGTTTATATTTGTTGTCCTGCTGTCAACTCAATATGGGAAGCTCAACACAATATGACAAAATCAATGGCTAGAAATAAAATAGGTAACACTTATACTTAATTTTACACTAATATAAATTAATCAAGTGGATACCTCCACTTGAGGTAGGTAAAAGAGTATCAGAAGGAAAGCTCTGTAACAGGGAAAAGTATGCTACAGATAACCCCTAAGTATGGCTAAAACAAAATTATACTTCATGTTCATTATCCAAGACTTGGACTGATTAATTTCTTATTAACTTAAAAACCTTTATGTTTTTGCATCCCCATCTGGGGTCAGAAATTAGGTCCCAACTGAATAGTGTGATTGTTGAGACTCCCATATCTCTAGTCAAGGACACAGGACCTAAGTCTTGGGTCTGGTTCACCTTGGAAGAGGAGGTAAAATAACAGGAACTAATCAATTGAAACTGGGTGAGGGGCCGTCTACCTGTTGTGCTTAGAAAAGTCTTGTTTCCACTCTTCCCACCCAGAGAGGAACCATAAGCACTGATAATTAACCATCGTCTCATTACCTCCTGCTGCCAGGATATGTATGTCTGTCCTTCATCCCTGATGCACTTTAATCATGTTGTACTAGCCACTAAGTCATGAAGGACTACTTTGCTAGCTACATGGCATCTGTTAGTTTTTTTGGCTGCAAGAGATAGACATTAAATCAGGCGTTCAAGAATGGAGCTTTTAGAGTAAGGATGCACATGGTAAGAAAAGAAACAAGAATCAGGAGCAGAGATGATTTTAGGATTTACTCAGCCATTATCTACTCTAAAAGGATGATCTAGAAACACTCGATCAATTATCAATTAGATAATGAAAAATGTTATCATCTCTATCCATCTTATGAATTTTGCTCCCAGGAGATGATAGTTCTGGTGGAAGCATAGCTCACGTGTCATCACTGACTTCTAAATGCTTCCCACATGGAGTGTTTGTAGCAGAACAGTGAAAAATGCTGATTGGATGAATATAGAAGCAAATGCATCAGAAAATATAGCAGGATTATGATAGATTGGATTAAAAAGTGTTAATTGCTGCAAATAAAACTAGTGAGTATTTGTTTCCCAGAAATTCTGTGTCTCTATTTGTTTAATTTTTCAATTGAGGTAAAAGATGTATCATATAAAATTTGCTTGAAATGAACCAGATACAAAAGGACAAATACTATATGATTATACTCAAAGGAAATATCTAGAATAGGCACATTCTAGGATAGAAAGAGATGAAACATTCCTAGGGGCTGAGGAGAGGGGAGAATGGGAGTTATTGCTTCTTGGTTACAGAATTCCTGTTTGAGGTGATGAAAAATTTTAGAACTAGATAATGATAATAGTTACACAATATTGTGGATATAATTAAGGTCACTAAATTGTACACTTAAAATGATCAAAATGGCAAATTCCATTCATTTAATTTTTAAAACTATTTTAAAAAATTCTGACATACTATATGTTTGCTATAAATATACTACTTATACAAGTCTAAATTATGAAAAACTCTTTTGCTTAGCTATCACGTTTTTCTATTATGTATACACACAGGATTATATTATATTTACTGTTTTGTAATTGTCAATAACAACATACTGTGAGTATCACACCTTCCTAATTTATTATATGCATATGCAGTATTTCAATGTTTAAATATAAAATTTTTATTCAAAAATTATTTGAAAGATGTATTGGTTGTTTCTTCATTTCCCTATTATAAGCAATGCTACAACTACGAATGTTGCACATATATGTTTAACAATTATCTATTTTATCATTGTTTATTCCTAGAATATTGAGTCATTATGTGGAGGGAAAATTCTAGAAATTTCCCAAGAAAATGGAAGGAACTAGAAACTGTTGGCAATAATGACATGTAAAGTGCCTATGTCCATTATGCCCTGGCTCCTATCTACTAAAGTGGAGGAAAAAAATGGCAAGAATATACATCTGTGATGCAACTAAGAAGACTCAGGGTCTTTTACTTTATTTTTATTTTTTTCCAGGATATTATTATAATCCCCAGATCACTTTGTTAGCAACCCAAACAATTATTTACTAAAGAAATTCCAGGGGCTAGTTATACACTTCTCCAATTTGTGAGCAGATTTTGAAAGATGGAAAGTGAAAAGGATTCCAGAAGCTCCTATTGTGTTCTTCCAACGTGGTGGGAGAGTCATGACAGCATGATTAAGCTAAGGGAAATTCTTCTCTATCATTGGACAGAATAGGAGAGGTTAATCAGGAGGAAAAATGCTTAGCCAAATAATCATTTTACCAGATAGTGCTGAGCTGCTGTATTTCCCCCACTCTGAACCAGCTTTGGGATCACATGGAAAGAGGAAAGTATGACTGGGTCTTCAGTCACAGCTATCTTCAGGCTGTGGTAGTACAAGAAGTGAAGAAGGCCTTTGTTTCTGTTCAATCTTGTATCTACCCATCTAACAGAGAGAATGTAGGGGAGGGCAAAGAAAGGTGTTAGCTTGTATTTCTTATGATCTGGGGATTATAATATCCTGGAAAAAAATAAAAGAAGAAGAGAAGAAAACAGAAGGAAGACGAAAGAAAAAGTAGTAATAGTAATAGAAAGGGGACAGAGCAAAATGGCCAAACAGAAACCCCTAGCAATTGTCCCTCTGCATGAACATCAAATTCCACAACTATCTACCCAGGTGAGCACCAAGCCACCACTCCCCTATCCTCAGGCAGTGCCATGCCACTGCTCTCAGTGGGGAGAGAGTCTGTGTGCTCCAGGGATGCAGACTAAAGTTATTGTGGTACTTGATAGGGCCACCCTGGCATAGGGGAACACTGCGTGTATTAAATTTATAAGGTAGTCAGACCCCAAAGGCTGCAGTCCTTAATCAATTCCTGTGGCTCTGCTGGCTCAGAGCCAGTGGACTTGGTTTGTGTGAGACCTACAGGGTACTAGTAACTGTGGCCAAGCCAGTGGGTGTGTCACCCCTTACCCAAGTACAGGTGGCGCAGCTCAGGGAGTGTCTTCTACTTGGGGAAAGAAAAAGGAAGAACTCAGAAGGCTTCATTTTGCACCTTGGTTACCAACTCAGCCTCAGTAAAGAAAAGCACTAAGTCGGCTCCTGATGTCCCTGAGTCCAGGCCTTATTTCCTGGATAGCATTTCTGAACCCACTGTAAGCTGGAAAGAAGCATGCTTCCCTGAAGGGAAGAACCCAGTCCTGGCAGGATTCACCAACTGCTGACCAAAGAGCACTTAGGATTTTAATAAACCTAAGAGGTAGCCAGGCAATTTTTATCACTGCCTTTGGGTGAGACTGAGCTGACTTCAGGTGTGACCTGGTTTTGGTAGCCAGCTCCTCCCCCAACTCGAGCAGCCTAGCACAGAGTGAGAAACTTTTCCTGGTTATCCAGTGAATTTAATCATGTCTTACCCATGTTCCCCAAGGCAATACCACTAGGAGTCTGCAAGAGTCACAGCATGACTGGGCTTGCGATGCAGCTGGTGCTAATAGGGCTGCAGTGACCAAAGACTTAGATCACAGCCCTCAAGTCTCTCTGAATATCTGGAAAATCTTTTCAAGAAGGATGGGTTCAAACAAACCCAGACTATAAAGATTAAAATAACTACTTACCTATTCAATGCCCAGACATCAAAAAGTATCTACAAGCATCAAGAATATCCAGAAGAAATGATCTAAACAAACTAAATGAGGTGCCAGTCTCCCATCCTGGAATGATGGAGATAGGTGACCTCTCAAAGAATTCAAAATAGCTGTTCTGAGGAAATTCAATGAACTTTAAGATAATATGGAGAAGCCTCTCAGAGAAATTTAACCAGGAAATTAACTTTCCAAACCTACAAAAAGATATTCAGGTATAAGTAGGTCAGAGAACACCAAGCACATTTAACCCAAACAAGACTAGCTCAAAGCATTTAATAATGAAGCTCCCAAAGGTCACAGATAAAGTCCTAAGAGAAGCAAGAAAAGGGAAAGAAATAACACATAAAGGGTCTCCACTAAGTCTGGTGAAATACCTTATCACCTCAATTAAAATGGCTCTTATCAAAAAAATAGGCAATTGCAAATGTCAATGTGAATATAAAGAATGGGGAACACTCATACACTGTTGGTAAGAATGCAAATTGTGAAACCACCATGGGGAACAGTATGGAGCCTCCTCACAAAACTGCTACAAAAGAAGAGCTACCATATGACCCTGCAATCCCACTGCTGGGTGTTTATCCTAAGAGGGGAACTCAGTGTACTGAAAATATGTCTGCACTACCATGTTTATTGTAGCACTATTCACACAAGCCAAGGTATGGAGTCAACCTCAGTGTCCACCAATAGATGAACAGAAAAGGGAATTATGATACATAAACACAATGGAATGTTTAAGCCACAAAAAGAATGAAATACGGCCATTTTCAATGTCATGCTTGGAACTGGAGAACATCAAGTGACATAATCCAAATACAGAAGGACAAATATCACACATTCTCACTCATATGTGGGAGCTAAATGTTAGAAACAGTTGATCTCATGGAGATAGAGAGTAGAATGATGGTGGTTACCTGAGGCTGGGAAGGATAGCACCTTCAATGTGATGGTCGGTCTAGACCTCTTTAATATGGATCATTAATGGGAAACATCATTGGGCAGAAAAAGAGAATTAGTTTATAAAAAGACTATAAAGCCCAAGTCAATAAATGTCTCCAAAGAAGAACAAGTAATTCCAGCAACAGAGAAGTTCTTATGAATAATACTATTTTTAATTTTGTACTAGTCACATTTCAGAGTGCTTGTGGGTTCACAATTTCCCTTTTTCTGAGGATAGCTTTCTCTCCTTTCGGCAGGCTCATGGCGGGGGGTGGTGGTGGTGGTGGGTGTCCAGCAGCTGTACCTACATCATGTGACTTCAAACTAGGGAAAACAATGATTAGAACTGGAGCAGTACCAAACCCATACTGGGGTAATTTAAGCACCCAAGGTTCTGAGTAAGTACTGAGCTCTGGAGCTGGGATAGTTCTATTGAGATCTAGGAACCCCTGGTACTAAGGTTTTGTTCTAGGACAGCATTTGATTCTAGTCATTCTGCCTACAGTGGATGGCTGTATATGTTCTTCATAAAGAAGATAAGCAAAGTAATCTTGTAAGAAGAAAACAGTCAAAAGGAAAAGAGATAGTTGGCTAAAATTATTGCTGAAGTTAAAATTTTGGAAAGCTTGTGCTTAGCTCTACTATGCTACCAGCCTGCTAAATTCTAGTTTACTGGAAGGTTTCTTTCCTTAAGGGATGGATCATGGCTGCATATTCTGTCTTATCTCAAAGTTTTGATATAATCTTAGAAAGCCAAACCCGCTCTCAAAGTTCATCGTCTTTTTGGACACAGTGAGTCAGCTCCCTGAAGGTATTTAAAAACATGTTTTGGGGCGGCGCCTGTAGCTTAAGGAGTAGGGTGCCGGCCCCATATACTGGAGGTGGCGGGTTCAGACCTGGCCCTGGCCAAAAACTGCAAAAAACCCCTCCAAACAAACAAAAAACATGTTTTGGGAACTATGGACCAAACCAAACTGGCAAGAAGGGACAGACAGCTAGCATTTCCATTTAGGAGACCTCAACTTTGAAGAATGAGACCTGCCTCATCCCTTGTGTACACCATCAATGCTTGATCTCTCACTCTTTATCATAGCGACCCAGCAAAAGCCCAATCCTTGTTAAACCCAAATCTCCACCTACTTTGTGCCTGCATTGGGAGATAAACATTGGTAAAAATTATACCTCCATAGAATAACTAGTCTCACATTAAATAAACAGCCACCACCTTCCAGTGAAGACTTAGTTCTGCTTGCCAACTCCATTATTTCCCTTTCATAGCAATAGGAAGAGAATGTCTTCATGAACGTCCACAACCTCAGTAACCCTCTCGGTTGCATTGCACCCACACACTCAGACTTTCCTCTCATTGGCTTAAACAAATAAGGTTCTTATATAAAGCCAACCCCCACACCTGTGCATGATGTCATCACCAGCCCCTTTCTCCTACTTAGGACTATGATACTGTCAAACCTTTCCATCCCTGAATTATCTGTCATATTATAGCTCAAAACAGATGCTTTCTAAGTGAAATAGAGGAGGATTCCCAGTGAAAAATAGTTAAGCAGAGCAGTAATTCCTAATGACTTTGGGCCTCCACAACAAACTGAGGAAAATAATGAAATATTATACATGTGAGAAGCCCTAATGTTTTCTATGCCCACCCCAATTCCTTTGCTGTTCTTAACTAGCAATTTAGTCTACAAAAATCACAGAAACATTTAAGATTCCATTGAGAGAGAATGAAGAAATATGTAGGTTGGTGGGAAGTTCTGTCTCCTCTCCCACAGAATTACTGTTTACAGTTGATTTGCTAAATAAACTAAGTATCTACCAAATACTTTTGGTATATCTGACTTTGGTAAATATGACTTCTTTTCCAAGTACATTTGATGCTCCATTCCTTTGATCTAAGTTCTATTTTCTTTTTTGAAATTATTTTATTATTTTTTTAACTGAAGTGTATATATTCTTTAGTATTCTTGTGGTCAGGATGGTAAATTCTATCTGAAATATCTTCAATCTGTGCACATTTAGCTGAGTCTAGAATTTGGGGTTTATGGGTTATTTTCCTTTAGCTCTTTTAGGATATTAGTCCATTGTTTTGTGGTATCTTTGGTTGGCTGTTGATCCTTAGTTGTTTATCTGTCTTTTCCATTTTACTGTTTTTCAAATATTTCTCTCTCTTCTCTCCCTCTTTCCTTTCCCTCCAACCAACCCCCTCAAGTTCACTGTGAAATAGGTTTTGGATTTTTCTTGTTTATAACTCTGCATGGAACATATTGTTTTTCTAATTTGAGGGCTCTTTAATTTGGAAAAATTCTCATCCATTTTAACATTTAACTATTTCTCCTATTTATTCTCTTTATTTTTCTTGTCATGAAATTCCCATTAGATATTGGACTGGACACTCTTTCTCGTCTTTTACATCTTTTAGCTTCTCTTCAATATTTTTTTCATCTTTTTCTGGATTTGCATCAAGTCTTACGTGATTTCTTCAGGTATATTTTTTGTTTACTTTCTCTTCAGTTGTGACTAATCTTCTATACATCTTATCCATTAAATTTTTAATTTTAAATTTTTTTACTCTCTTCCAATGCTTATATGTTCTAATAGATTATTTTCCTATTAGTTTTACTTTGCAGTGTTTCCTATTTTAACTAACACAGTATTCGATACCTTAGATATGTGTTTCACAGTTTCTGTTACTTTAGTTCTTGAGTTTGCTGATAGTTCCATTTGTTCAGTCTGCAGGTATTTTTACATGGTCAGCTTTTGATTATGAGTTTAGCGTTTGGGAGATATATATATATATATTTAACTCTTGTTACTTTGTGTTCTGAATTTTCGATATATCCTTATAGAACTGTTGGTGTCTTCTCTGGGGAGTTGTAGGATAGCAGTAGGAAGAGGAGAGGACTAGAGGAAGTATCAGTAGCAACAAATAACATTTTTAAGCTTTTGTAAGTTTTCAGACATTGTTTGAGGTACTTATATTAACGAATGTAATCCCTACAATAGCCGTACGTATAAACATTGTTATTTCCTTACTTTTATGAAAGAAAAAAACTGAGGGGGAAAGGGTTCAATGGATTGTGTAAGATCACACAGCTAGTGAACAGCTGAGCCAGGATTTTAACCCAAGTTTTGCTCTGGGATACATACACTAACAGCTAAGGAATTGTTTTTAAATGTCTTATTATGCAGAGGGAATAAATTTGGACCCCTCTCCCATCTCCTGTATCTGACATAAGCTATGGGGGCACTTGGGGGTTTAATTATCTATGGAAGATACAGTGTGTCCCAGAGATTGGGCAGAGAATGCATGTCTTTTCTTTGACATTAGGTGAAATTTTTCTCATCTATTTTTAGCACTGGATAGTCCTGAGAAGCTTCTAGATCATGGAGGGATATGAATTCCAGACTCCCAATCTGTCATGTAGCAACTCCTGGTCACAGAAGTATTAACATACCTAAAGCCCTGTGCTTAGTCCAAAATACCCTCAGACTGCCTGAGCGTCTCAGATGTCACTCACAGCTGAAAAGAAACTTTAACTTCTTTTTTCATTCTTAACACCTAGGAATATGCCATCCTTTTTTCCCTTTGTTCCCTCTACTCTTTATTACTTTCTTTATCTTTTCTTCCTTTTCAAAGTTTGTTGATATACTGGAAATTCCATTTTTGGATGTATTTTACCCACATTTCAATGTTCTTCTCATTTGGAGATTGAGCACTTCCTTATCATATTAGGTCACCATTTGGGCGAAATTCTTCATATTTAAATAAAAAAAATGCCCCCCCCATAAATAAGTTAGAATAAAGAAGTCAAGAAAAAGGAAGAGGAAACATATTTACTGGTAAGAAATGAAAATAGTGAAATATATTTTTTTAATCTAAATAATTATTGATATCAGAACTGTGAATTTTATTACAATTATAAGACAGGCAGAGTGAAAATGATTTCTAAAATAGACTATAAATGGTATAAAACAATTATAACAGCAAAAAAATTAAAAAATATCTATATTCCAGATAATTTAAAAGAAACAGTGAATTTTTTGTTGTATTACTGATACAAATGTGTTTTTTCATTTTTTTTTTTTTTAATCGAGGCAGAGTCTTACTATGTCACCCTTGGTAGAATGCTGTGGTGTCACAGCTCACAGCAACCTCATACTCTTGGGCTTAAGCCATTCTCTTGCCTCAACCTCCCAAGTAGCTGGGACTACAGGCACCTGCCACAATGCCGGGCTATACTGATACAAATGTTAACAGTGTTTTTGACCTTCCCCTCCCAGGAGCTTTTTAGAACACCTTTATTAACTTTGTTAATGACAATTTTCTATGTAAGGGACGTAATATTTCACTGTTGACAATTTTGAACTAATTGCCAAAGATATATATAAAATCTTTACACACACATACACACACATACATACACATAGTGCTGTCATGGCTTAACTGTTTTTTGTTTTTGTTGTTTAAATTATCTCCTTTACTCCTGAACATCTCTCAGCTTTATGATTATTAACATCTGTGGATTGGGAGCCATGTCAAATATTTGAGATTTCCCAACTCATGGACTTTGGTTTCCTGTTTTGCCATTTACTGTGGCAGGTCAAGAAAAGTTTGCAACTTTTTACAGACAAAGATAAATTATGTGATGAAAACTGAATACATTTCAGTTTTTCCTCCTGCTCAAAAACTCACCTGAATCTTTTTATGTCTTGTTGTCTTCTGTAATCCACTCACTTATTTTGTTCATATATATGTCTTATGAAATCCTGTATCCACGGGGAACAGAACAGGACAAAAAACAAAAACATGTTCATTTCATTTGCTCATCCTAGGAATTTGTCTAAGACAAGTTACCTGGTTTTATAAGACGGAAAAATAAAAATAAAATGAAAGAAGGAAGGAAAGAAATGAAGAAAAAGAAAATCAGCTTCAGAATGTTATGCCCAATTAGTCTGAATTGGTCAAATATCTAATTGGTAGTTGTAGTTAGTCACCAGTAGGGAAAGCAAACAAACAAACAAACAAAAGATTCCAATTTCTTGTACAAGTTTAACTCTTTTGCTTGGTTACTTATTATTTTTGCTCTTTTCCTGTTCCTCCCCCCATCCTGGTTTCAGCACTGTTGACAGACTAGTTGCATTTTCCTTGTTTACCGTTCTCTCCCTCATGCCTGTAGTTGAGAGGCCAAGTGAACAAACAGAGTTTGTCTTACTCCCAACTAACCATGGGTCAGTCATTTCCCTGCAGAATAATTGGCTTAGGAAAAAAGACACGGAAAACAAAACGAGCTCATGATGTGCAGTGTGGTCTGACTACTCCCCTTTCCAGCAGCCAGCCGGCGTCAGAGCTGCTGGGAGTACACACCCATTTCAAGAATAAATGAAGAAGCAGCAATAAAGAAGTTTTAACCGTTGCCTTTAAACAGAGAACTGAGGTTTGACAGCATTTCTAGACTATTTTTTCTAATTTTTCTAACAGTAAGTAAAATGCTTATTTTGTTGTGCTGGGCCAAATATGTGGGTGGACACTGCTAAAATCAATCTGTTTTTCAGATGTTTCCAAACTCTTGTGTGCTTTATGTTAAAGGCCTAATGACTAAATTTTCCTAATTTTGTCCAACCAGTTGTTATTGTATGGTACAGTCTAGGAAAATAGAAAAATATACTTCTGTACCAGCTGAGGAATTCTTTTAGAGTTGACATATGCAAATCTAAAAAAATCGAGGTTTCAAAAACTGTTTCTTTATTTGCAAACATTTGGGCAAAATGACTTTCTCATGTGATTTCTTTTTTTTCTTCTTTTTAAATGAGTTTTGTAGTTTGTTTCTTATTATTAAGGGACTTTTGAATTCCTAAAACTGAGAGAAATTGCTTTATTCTTCCTGTATCTCAGAATCAAGTTTCAAGGGATCTGAAACTAGATCATTATTCCACAGCCTGATTCTTTTGACAAAAGTTGTTTGAGTCAATCTGAAGGTAAGAACTAAAAGAAAGCATTTAATGGAGGTTGTCTAATGAAAATAATTAATTTTTCAGATAATCTTTCAGAATTCTGATATTAACTTTATCAGCTCTGGGGTTTTTATTTAAATGTAAAGAACAAGAAACAATTAGTAACAGGATGAAATTAATGTAATTACTCTATTTACGTAAGTTCTGTTTTAAAAGGCCAAAAATTATCTTGTAGGTTCTAAATTCTAATGATAGCTTTTTCACTGTAGTACTGTAAGTTACTATACAATTGAGATAATAATCACTCTGCCTTCCCACCATCACCTACTCCCCTAACTAGCTTAAAATGAATATAGTTGAGGTGAACTTTATAGCCACAAATTACTAAAATAGTATTTTAAGTCCATTTTTTACAGATCTTAAAGGTAGTAAATATTTTGCCTAAAATATGATCAAGGATTTTCTTAATTGTATTTATTTTTTCTGGTTTGTGTTCTGCTATATTTATTCTTCTTGTTCATTTAATAAACAAGCTGAATGGATTTGAAACAGAAAAGTGTGTTTCAGCAAACACGAGCGCTTCTGCACAAGAATTTTCTGAAGAAATGGAGGATGAAAAGAGAGAGCTCATTGGTATGCTTAAAAGTTTGCCTCTTTCCACAGTTAGCACCCCGATAAAACTTTATTACCTAATGGTCCTCTTAAGTTATATTTGTTGTTTCTAGTTGAGTTTGTTGAATCAAGAGACTCAGAATAGGCCCTGAAGAATAACATTGAATTGTAAAGAATAAAAGCATTATTCATAATAAAAAATAGAAATCAAGTACAAATTTAATTATATGGTAACTTATTGAAGCTATAAAGCCAATACCAAATGTTCTACCAGTAGAACCCAAACATAAGAAAAATGGTTCCCAGAAGAACTTAAGAAATTTTAATTTTGTGGATTTATTTTCAAAGCCAGAAAATTTTCTACACAAAGATTATTGCCAAGAATTCTGACCAAGTAAAGTCGCTGGTAGTCGGTTTGCCTCAGGTGAATGGGCTAAATCTAAGGGACTAGCCCAACAGAGCAAAAGTTTAGTTTTCCACTTTTAACAGTCTACAGATGGTCAACAGTGGAAGTGAATTGGGTTGAGTGGGTGAAGGAATCTTCTCCACATAGTCATTTGGGGACCCAGGCTTCTTCATCTAGGAACTCTGCTATTTCCCTAGCTAGAAACTTTTCCTGAATTCTTTGCTTCCAGTCAGAAGATCAGAAAAAAGAGGGACCAAGACAGAGAGAACATAGAAGTGTGTACAGGAATCCATGACTTAGGCCTGGAAGTTTTGCATGTCACTTCTGCCCACAGCCTATGGGACAGAGCTCAACCTCCTGGTCCCACTTAATTTCAGGAGGCTGGAACAGTAGTCCAGCAGTACCAAAGAAGATGAGATGATTGATTCTGGTGAATAGTGAGTGTAGTCTCTACCATTCCATTACTTGTCATTTCTTTAGTTCCTAAATGCAAAAGCATTCCAGCTGACAATAATATTGCTATTTACCACCATGAGCTCTAACTGAGATGCTCTGTGTCTTAAAAACTCTACAGTTGACTGCAGATGCCTTTAGAGATTGTCAGCCTTTCAGTCATCCTGTCAGTTTTTATGACAACTTTTCCAGTAGTTCATGATTTAATGCAAATGTCTTGCTCTAGTATTGGAGAATGGTAAATGTGGCTGGTCTCAGTATTTATCTTTCATTGGGTTTCCCTTGCTCTGTGGAGTAAAGAGCAGAGAAAAGCCAACTTTATGGCAAAACTGGAATTTGTTTTCAAAAGTGTTTTTTTTTTTTTTAATGTATTGACCGAGATTTTCACAACCTAATTTTTTTCTTTTTTCTTTTTTAATTTGTTACAGGAATTGGGTTTTTCAATACTTCTAGGAGTGTTTCTAGATATGTTTTCAAATTTACTAAAAAGTGGTCAGTCTCCTGAATTACCTTCTTTTGATCTGGGAAGGGCAGATAAATTCAACAGCTCTTCTAGAATGGTTGTGTATACACCAATCTCCAGTGCAACTCAGGAGATAATGAATAAAACATTTCTTCTTTTGAAAGGTAGGCGTACTGATGGGAAAAAAAGAATTATTGATATTACTTCATAATCTTTTGATAAGATGTATAAATATTAATTTGAAGCAACAGTGATACAATATGCTAACAATTTAAGTATTAAGATGGCATACAAATTTGTTTTTTTTTCCTTTCTCTCATAATAATTAGCCTTTGAATTTTTTTCATCTCAGTGGAGGTCTAGTTCAGAAGGTCCACATTTCTATTGCAATATAACTAAACAACAGATTTATAATTTCAGATTGCAGAATAGTGTCTGGGAATAATATTACCATTGGTGAGTGTTGTTGAGGGACCTAAGATATCCCCTACACAAACTCTTCCCCCATCTTCTCCTGTTCTCCAAAAACAAAAAATACAGAGGACCTAGTTAGTCATCCCATCCCCCTCCCCCAAAAGGACCCTAACCTACCAAAGCCCTCCTGGGGCTGTCAAATTTGCCCACCCCCTAGAGTCTATATAAAAGGGGTCTCTAACTGCCTCTGGGCAGCGATGCCATCTTAGTCCTAACCAGGCCCTCTCCTTTCAATAAACCTGGCCTGAACCTCTCTGCTCCAGTCTTATCTCTGGGTGCCATCAATTTCACCTTTCAAGTATGTGTGTTTTTAACACAGAAACGCAATGATTAAGATTTACAGCTCAGGAAAATATCTAAATAATGGAAATTAGATTATGGTTAGACAATCTGAGGTTATTCTGTTGTACCTATTGTATAATTTGTAAATGTCTTTAAAAATCTTCATTGTAAATGAGGTCATTATGTAACTGAGATAAATAAAAGGTATATTTCATTCATGGGCAAACTGGTTGCTAACTATTTATTGTTTAATTCTCAATTATTAACAAGTGAAATTTCTGGCTATTAGAAATAGAGTTACTTCACAATCGCAGGAATGTTTTATAACATTTGTCTATTGAAGTATATTTAAAACACAGTAAACTGTACATATTTAAAATCCAAAATGTATAATTGATCAGTTTTGACTACTTAGTATGTGAAAACATTCCCACAGTCAAGAGAATTAACTTATCTGTCATCACCAAAAGTTTCTTCATTCCCCCCAGCTTGACCCAAACAAACACCTATCTGTTTCCTGGCACTATGTACTTCTTGCATTTTCAAGATTTTTATATTAATGTGATTATATTAAAAAAAAAGAAATAGAACTACTTTGTTTTTTTGTTCCCATATAAGGCAAAGATCATGTAAACTGTTTGCTTTAGCTAATCTGAAATATAGATTCCCCAACTGTATAGTAACTACAACAACTACTTCTGTTTTTTTTAACCCCAATTCTCTTATGCTTTCTCTTATTCTGGCATAATGTTTTTTATTTACCTAAAACTTGCCCCAATACCTGTCATTATGAAAACATTTAATTTTTATGCATGTCTTCTGATTCTATAATAGAATCTAAAACATTAAAATCCAACTCCCTTGCCTTTTAATTTGTTTGGTTTAAATGGAGAATGATTTTAGTTTATGTCTAATGAAAAATACAAAAAAAAATACATACATGGTGGTGCAGTTGAATATCATATTTTGTTTTGGTGAAACTCTGTAACAACTTTCAATGTCTATTTTTGCTTTATATTTCATAGAAAAAAGTGTCATTGGGGTACCAAGTGAAAAACATATGGATAAAATACTTGAAGAACATTATTATGCTGTGGGAATCATCTTTAATGACATTTTCTCTTACAAGTTAAAATTCATTCAGGGATATGAAATTCCATTTGTGAGCGAAGATTATCAATCAGGTGACTTTTGATATAAAATATCATTATGACATTTTAAATGTTTTCAACATAAAGAACAGGTGGGGATGGGCAACAGAGATGCTTTCAATGGCACGGGAGAAAGTAGACAGAGTACATTTTATTGCTGACCTTATTCCCAAGTCAATTATATGTTCCCACTACAGGATGACTCTCAAAAAAAGTAGAGTCATCCGAAATGTATTTCTTGAGCTCACAGGTGCATGTGTCAAAGGATGCAGGCGTGATCAGGACTGAGAGATCCCAGCCTCAGTTGAGATTCCAGTTCAGCGGGAAGGAAAGACACTGAACAATTAGCAAAAGTACAAGGAAAGTGTTGGCCAGGAGTTCCTAATAAATTGTGGGATTAGGAAAGTCCTACCGTTGGAAATAAGATTTAAACTGAGACCACGAAACCTTGTGAGAGAACTTGAGAAAAACAAAACAAAATAAAACTGGGGCTGGAAGAAATACCAGGTTTGAGGTGCTGGAAGCATCATGTTTCAGATGAAGGCCCAGAGGTGAGAAAAGACATTTGTTAGTAGATCTGGAAGAAGAGCAGTAACTCACTTACATGTGGCCTTCTGGATCCTTGCATGTGGCCTTTTGACTGAATCCAAATTTTACAGAACAAATCCTTTTAATAAAGACATTTGTTAACTTTGATTTGGTCAAAGGGCCGCCCATGGGGATCTGGTTGGCCACATGTGGGCTTCCCCTGGCTGTGGCATATTTCAAATGCCCCTAGGCAGTGAGTAGCCATTGGGGTGCTTTAATCAGGGCAAAGATATAGTTAGGTTTCTAAGCTTAAGAGAGCACTGTAGATATAGCCAAGAAAATAGATTGAACAGAGGTTTTGGAGAATGAAACGAAATCTATCAATGAGCTGATAGTGGCTTAGACCACAGAAGAGGCAGCTGAGTGGGAGAGAGCCCTAGGGATTAGAGCCACTTTAGGAAGTAGAATTGATGTGACTAATAAAACTGGTTCTTCACCTTCTGTTCACTAACTGCCTACTATGTGCTCTGTACTGTTCTTGGTCCTGGGGATTGAAGTGAATAAACCACACAGCCTGCTTGCAGGTACCATTTTTTGCCAAGGACAGGGGATGGGGAAAACAATATCTTGAACACAGTAAAATATAGCAGAGATATTAGATAATTTATTTATGGTGTTTAGAAAGGTCTTCCATGATGAAGTTTATTTGTGAGAAGAGATAAAAATAAAGGGAAAGAGTGAGTCATGTATGCAGAGGGATAGGATTCAAGTTCGAGAAAAGTCCTGCTGGGATGCATTTAGCATTTTGAGGTACAGCAAGGAGTCTGTTGTGGTTGGAGCAGAGTGTTTGCTTTGTCTTTTTATTTTCTAAGACCTTTCTTTCTTTCTTTCCTTCCTTCCTTCCTTCCTTCCTTCCTTCCTTCCTTCCTTCCTTCCTTCCTTCCTTCTTTCTGATAGAGTCTCACTTTGTTGCCCTCTGTAGAGTACTGTAGCGTCACAGCTTGGGCTTAAGTTTTCCTTTTTGCTCAGGGACTGCAGGTACCCACCACAATCCCCAACTACTTTTTAGAGATGGGGTCTTACTTTTGCTCAGGCTGGTCTTGAACACCTGAGCTCCAGCAAGCCACCAGCCTCAGCATCCTAAAGTGCTGGGATTGCAGGTGTGAGCCATGGCACCCAGCCTTTCTAAGACTTTCTAAGTACACTGTGGTCTGTGCAAATAAAATCATGTTGTAAAGAATTTTCATTAATTTGCTTTCTTTTTCTGTGTAGTTAAAAGTTCCAACTAGTAAGCCAGGCACTTATGCCTGAAGCTTATGCCGGAAATCCTAGCACCCCAGGAGGCCCAGATGGGCGGATTACTTGAACTCAGGAGTTCAAGAACAGCCTGAGCACCTTAGCCGGGCATTGTGGCGGGCACCTGTAGTCCCAGCTACTCAGGAGGGTGAGGCAAGAGGATTGCTTGAGCTCAAGAGTTTGAGGTTGCTGTGAGAGGTGATGCTATAGCTCTCTACCCAGGGTGACAGAGGTAGACTCTGTCTCTAAAAATAAAATAAAATAAAAAGTTCTTACTGCTGGTGTCTCCTGTAGTTTGTTTTCTCCTGGATTCTCATTCATGTTCCCCAACTACCCTCACCCATAGTGTTGGTGTTGCTTTTCTTTGTTTCTTTTTACAGTTCCTTGCTGGGTGGGATATGAAGAGTTTAGCTGTATGTTGAACTTATACTGGACTAGAGGATTCATTACTCTGCAAACTGCCATTAACGCTGCTATCATAGAAGTAAGTGCTTCATTGACAAGTTCTAGTAATTAATGGTTTTGATGAAAGATGATTGTTTCAGTTTATTTGTGCTGCTATGACACAATATCTGAGGCTGGGTGATATATAAAGAACAGAAATGTTGTTGCTCACAGTTCTGGAGACTCAGTATAAGATCAAGGTGCTGGCAGGTTTGGAGCCTGGTGAAGGCCTGTTGCTCATATAAGGCACTATGTGTCTTCACATGTGGACAAGCAGAAAGGCATGAAGGTCCTCAGCCAGTTCCCTCCAGCCTTGTTAGAAGGCAGTAACCCATGCACGTGGACTTCACCCTCACGACTGAACCACCTCGCAGAAGGCCCCATTCCCTAACACCACTACAATGGGGATTAAGTTTCAACATGAATTTTAGAGGGAGCATCTTCAAACCACAGCCATGGCATATACTCAGGATTTCTTATGATTATACGTATGATAATGAAACATTAATTCAATGATCGTATAATGAAGCAGGTATCCAGGAAAAGAAATTGCTTATTGATTTTTACACTTCAAACCAATTTTGAAGTGGTTATAGAAACACAGGAAACTATAGAAATAATGTACAGGGAGGTCATGTTTTCATCATCCAGTTCCCCTCACTGACAACATCTTGCATAACTGTCAGACAAAAATAAAACTCAGAAAATTGACATTTGTAAAAATCTACAGAGTTTATTCTGATTTTGCCAGTTTCTATTCTCGGAATAATGATGACATTTGTTTAAATTCTTCTCTAGGTCACAACAAATCACTCTGTGATCGAGAACTTGATGTCAGTTACTGCCAGAACTATGAAGACATTAGCTTTTGTTTATAGAGATGTTGTTCAAGATGAATTATTTGTTTTATTCTGCTTGCTTTATTTTTGCCCACTTATATATTTTGTATCACTCAATGTTACAAAAGAAAGAAAAAAGTATAAGAATTTGATGAAAGTGATGGGTCTACAAGATTCAGCCTTCTGGTAAGTGAATAATTCAAGTTGTACAAATTAGTAAACAGGAAAATTAAGAAGCAACGAGAAAATGTTATTGTTTCAAAACATTATGGTTTAAATTTGAAGCATTGGCTGCTGTTTCTTTTGTGCATTGTTAAGTTTTGCTAGGCAAAATAGTGATTATGATTTGTTGAGCACTTACCGATCACCTAGTTTATAAGCAAAGAAAATGAAGGCAAGAGAGCGTAAGTTGGGATTCCAGCCAAGGTTCTCTGATAGAAGGCTCTCACTGGGTTGGCCTACAGTTAAACATTTGATTTTTTCACCCTTCCTCATTTTGAAGTAAGTATAATCCCATAAAAGCTAACTTATGTTCAAGGGCTTGGCTACCAGGCATATATTTTTTGGAGCAGTTAAATACAGTTTGGTGGAGTTAAATGTTAAAAGTTAAAACAAATAATTAAGGAGTAGAAATAAAGACCTACCAAGATAATAAATAGGTAAGTAGCAGAAACCCAAATCATACAATCTCTAAGCTTACAAGAGGTCAAAGCAGAGAGTTCTACAGGACTATCAGTGACAAAATCCATACTGTCTAGGAAAAAGAAAAATAATTGTTTATTTTATCATCGAATCAAGAAAACATTCCTTATGGATGGAGACCTACATGGAATATTTAAGTAATTATTTACTAAACAATTTTTTGTATTTCATGTGTTCCCTGAAATAAAATTATGGTTTAGAAAAGTTTTACTCTTCTATAAAATATTTTTTATTAACAGAAAATTTTAATTCTATTATATACACACATAAATTGTAAAATAGAAAAAGAGGAAACTGTGTCTTAAAATAGAAAAGAGAGAAGGAAAACTTTTGCAGTGAAACTTACGGAAATACAAAAGAATGGACTTAGAGCCACCCACAGAGTCTCTTAGGAGGGAACTTTGTAAAAGGGGCCCATGTCCCTGCAGTTACCCAAGATAAGGGTAGCAGGAGTCAGCCCTATATTAGAGTTAGAAAAGCATTGGAAATTTGGGTGTGAATTAATTCTTAGGATAAATGATTCATAGTATGCTTGTGACCTAAAACTAAGAAAAACGAATTCACATATGCATACTTAAAACTAAGAGGGAGAAAGGCTCTGAAATGTTTCTACTAAGTGCAGGATATCGAGTGGAAATACATTTTATGATAATTCTTTTAATAATGTAGTAAATGTGAAGTATAATCAGTATTTATTCTTTAAGTGGGATGTCTGAATTCTTTTGCTTTTAGAAAGGTTTTTTTTCAACATCTTCCTCAGGTTTCTTTTTTCTAAGTCATGGTAATTTCTAGGTAATTTCTTTATTTGTAATTATCCTACCCCATGGTCTCTGAATTCCTGGCAAAAGTAGCTCTCTTTCTGTATTCAGGATATGGGTTCTGAAGATTGTGGTGTGCTTTTCAAAAATGCTGATGTGTCCAACACAGGCTGAATCATTTTAATGGCATGACCTTTCAAAGGAAGTCGAATAAGCAGTCAACCCAGCAGAAACATGTTCTTCTGGGACATGTTGATGCAAAGTCTTGGCTGTAATATTTTTGCTATATTCTTCAGCTGTTGAATTATTAGTTTGTTAGGCAATTTTAAGTAGAGGAAAGAGCTCTGGACAGAGAGAAGACCTGCAGCTTCCTCTGAGCATTGAGATTGATTTATTTAGTGTCCTTAACTCATTAACTAACGGCAGGCAGTGCAGTTTCCTTATCTGTAAAATGAGAATCTTGGGATAAGATACTCTGTAGTCTTCTTAGATCTAAGATGGAGTACTGTTTCTTAAAAATGACTTCACAGCCTTAAAGAAAGACGGAGACTTTACCTCTTTCATGTTTACATAAATGGAGCTGGAACATATTCTTCTTAGCAAAGTATCTCAAGAATGAAAGGAAAACTATCCAGTGTACTCAGCCCTACTATGATAGCCCAAGATGAAGGGGAAAGGAGAGAGGGAGATGAGGGAAGGATGCATGGAGGGAGAGTAATTGGTGGGACCACACCTATGGTGCATCTTACAAGGGTACATGTAAAACTTACTAAATGTAGAACATAAATGTCTTAACACAATAGCTAAGAAAATGCCATGAAGGCTATGTTAACCAGTTTGATGAAAATATTTCAAATTGTATATAAAACCAGCACATTGTACACCATAATTGCATTAAAGTCTACAGCTACAATTTAATAAAACAAAAAAAATGACTTCACAAAATGTCAGCACTAGCACATGTAAAGCAAAACATTGTGAACATTAAGAGATGCTTAATTTAACATATAATTTATGTTAGTTTAAGAAAAGAAATAAGGAATAAGGAGAATGAAGTGGGCTTAATGGAATTATAAAACATAGGCAATGCCTGCTGAGAGCTCCAAGAACGATATGCCCCCAATCTCTGTAGAAATCACTTGATTGGTCCTCAGCTGTTAAGTCTCCTTCCAGTTCTGCATTTAGGAGAATTTGGTGGTATCTAATAAAGCTGAGCATTCAGAATACTTACAGACATTTTTGTATATTTTCCTGAAATAGACAAGTACAAGAATGTTCTCAGCAACATTGTAATAGGAAAAAAAAATTGGGAACAACCTACATTTCCATGTGCAGGAGAATACTGGATCACGTGCATACAGTGAAATGTTACTCAACAATGTATATATTGCTCATGTTGACTGGTAAAGGAAATTAATACTGTTAATACTGTCTATACAGTGTTCATGCTGTGTATACAAATCAGGTTCACGTGTTGATGCTTAACTGGTAGGCACAGCACAGCCTGCCATTGTTTATAGTCACTTCACTGATACCTTCAAGGCACCTTTCCCATTGGTTGGTGCTCGTGTTCCGTATCCATCATCTCTGTGTACATATATAGCAAAGGTAATAAAAATTCATTGCAACTATGTGGAAGGAGAATTGTGATCAGAAAAGGGTGCACAGGGAGCATCTGCCCTACTATTAATATTATAGCTATTCATCTAGGAGTACAAGGGTAATCATTTACATCATTCGTTAGATGCTTTTGAATATTTTAAATATTTCATATTAAAGTTAACATAATTTAAATACCTTTTTGTCTGTATTAGGTTGTCCTGGGGTATAATCTATGCTGGCCTTTTCTTCGTTATTTCCATCATCATTGCAGTTATCATAACATCCACACAAATTATAATCATGGCTGGCTTCATGATCATATTCACGCTCTTTTTCTTATATGGCTTATCTTTGGTAAGTTTATTACTACTCTCTGTGCTTTATACTTCAGCTATATGTGCAAATATTAATCCCCTAGTATGTTACCCGAAGGACTACTTTCATGCACATGCTTAAGAAACTTTCTGTAGATTAAGAAAATGATGTACCCATATAAAATCAGACCTCCTTTATTTTTTTTTTGCAAAAACATCTGAATTAGGGAACTAATGCATCAAAAAGAAAAAATAATTTTGATGCAAAAATACCTATATCAAAGACTTTTCTAGGTGGCTGTCGAGGATGTTCTTGAGGGATGGACCTGTACTTTTCCCCTGAGGGTGCCCACACCTGGTAGCCAATCACAGTTCCTCTTCTCCTCTCATATTCTGCCTCCTCACTCCCCTCTTCCCTCTGCAGAAGGGCCTCTAATTTCTTCCTCCTTCTAGGGTGTTTTCTACAGAGAGTATGCGATGCCTCAGCTTAGGACTTTAATTCAGCTTTGTTAGATTTTTCCAAGTCTGGATTTCCACAATGTCCTCAGATCTTTTTCCAGCATTTTTCTCACTCTTTCCACAATAACAAAAGCCCAGCATTCAAGGAGGACAAATAAGGAAGTTGGGAGAAGGATGAATCATTATACCTTCATTTTTATCACTCTCACTGATGTATGTTAATGTTGTGATAAAAAGATGCTTATCTTATTGTGCGGCCCATGACTTGTGGTAAACTGAATGCGTATAAAACCTGACCATCCTCTCCCTCTTTCAGATAGCTCTTGTGTTCCTGGTGAACGTGCTGGTAAGGAAAGCTGTCCTCACCAGTTTGGTTGTGTTTCTCCTAACCCTCTTTTGGGGGGGTCTGGGATTCCCTGCAATATATAAACATCTTCCCTCATCTCTGGAATGGATTTTTAGTATCTGTAGTCCCTTTGCGTTTACCGCTGGAATGACTAAGGTAAGGGCACAGTTAATTGATTTGTTATAGAAATTACAAAGGAATTTGATAATTCCTGACTCTTCATAATCAACATTATCTTGGATAAGAGCTTTTATTCATAATAAATTTGTATTCTAAAGCTAAATTTGAAAATGTTAGTATGTTGTAGGAAAACTGTCATCTCACAAGAAAACTTATATTACAGAATCCTCCAGATTTTTACACACACACAGATATATGTATTATATAATCCTCCAGATTTTCACCACACACACACACGCACATATATATATATATACACACATACATAAACTTCAAAAAAAATACATTTTAAAACACACATATATATATATATTGTTTTGTTTTGTTTTGGGCCAGGGCTAGGCTTGAACCTGCCACCTCCAGCATATGGGGCTGGCGCCCTACTCCTTTGAGCTACAGGCGCTGCCCCACTCAGATATATTTTCAATGTGAAGTGTTTTCTTCTAGTTTTTTCTACATACAAACATTTACTTTTGTTTTCACTTCCCATAATGAAAACATCGTGTTAGCATATAAGTTTATTAAAAATTGTATTGATTTAAGTCCTTGTGTATAATATTTTACTTTATAAATTATGGCTCAAATATGAAAAACTTTCAAAACACAAATATACAGCTTAACAAATAATTATGAAGTAATCAAAATGCTTCTAAAGTGGATCGATAAATATAAATGTTGCCACCACGTCAAAGCTATTCTAACTACTACTTCATTGTAAAAGTAAAGTTTTTATGATAATCACTCTCTTGCACTTCATTGCCATGTAAGTACGTGTTCTAAATACAAGTTTTTAGTTTTGTCTATTTTCAACTTTATATAAATGGTAGTGTACAAAATGTGTTTTTTAAAAAATGGCTTTTTTACTCCAAATTATGTTTTTAGGTGGCAGCTTAGCTTTGTGTGTACCTGTAGTGTAGGCTTATATAGTATTGTACTGTGTGAATGCACTGTCAATTTTCTTACTGATAGATGACAACAATTTTTCATTTTTGACTATTTTTAATGAAGATGCTACAAATATTCTTATACATATTTCCACATGAATATGGGCATTCATTTTGGAGTTTAGAGTAGATGGTATACAAATCTTGGAGTCTAGAGTATACAAATATTAATCTAAGTAACTACCACCAAATATTTTTCGAAAGTGGTTTCATCAACTTACTCTGAATTAGTTTTTCTAAAACTTCACCAACACTTGGTATTGCTAGTCTTTTAAATTTTAGCCACTCTGATAAATGGGTTGTGACATCCTGTTGAGGTGTTAATTTGCATTTTTCTGATTATTGGTAAAGTGGAATACTGTTTCATATGCTTAGTGGCTTTTTTGATTTTCTCTTTTGCAAATTGCCTATTCTAGTCTTTTGCCCATTTTTCACTGATTTTCCCTTTTTTTGATACTGCTTTGTAAGTAAGCATTCTTTATAAATGCTAGATATCAGACATTTTTCAGTTATTTGTTGCCAGCTTTTTGACTGTCTTAATGGTTCTTTTGATAAAGAGAGGTTCACAATTTTAATAAAGTATAATTTTTCAAGTTTTTCTTTTGTGTAGAATGTTTTTGTCTCAATACAAGAAATTATTGCCTGCCCTACACCAAGCTTATAATGATGTTCTCCTACTTTTTTCCCTAGAATTTTAATTGATTTATCTTTTACATTTAGATGTAAAATCTTTTTCAAAATAAGCTCTGTGTATGTCTAGGTAGAAGAAGTATATAAATATTTAGTTGCATCAGCTCCATTTATCAAAAAGGTCAGCCTTTCCTCCAGTAAACTGTGGTATTTTATCATAACTCAACCAATCACGTCCTGGCTCATACATCTGTCCTTGCACTGTGGCCACATCATCTTCATTGTTTTGCTTTATAATATGCCTTCATATTTGGTAAAACAATCTTACCACTTCATTCTCTTTTTCAAGAGAGTCTTGTCTACGTGAGTTTCTTTGCAGAGATGTAATTTTTAGAGTTAGCTGATCAAGTTATGTGCTCACACACCGACGCATGTACAAAACCATTAAGATTTTGATGCAGCTGAATTTTTCAATTTAGTTTGAGGAAAATTGATATCATTTTTGGCCATGAACATAATGCACCTTTCCATTCATTAGGTCATCTTCAATTTTCCTTAATAATGTTTTAGTTTTCAGTGCAGAAGTCTTGCAAATTTTTGTTTGATTTCTTCTACAGCTTTGATATTTTTAGTTTTATTCTAAATAACCTCTGTGCTTAAATTCTTATTTCTAAATGTTTATTAACATAGATGCATTATACCCAGTATTCTTACTATATTCTTTATTAACGGGAATATTTTTCCTGGGTTTCATACTGGAGTTAAGTGTAATCATGTCTATGAATATAATAGCTTATTTTCTTCCCCTCTGCAGTCCTTATGCTTTTAAGTTATTTTTCTGGCCTTACCAGAAGGGTTCTGGTTCTGACTAGAAGGTCAGAACTTCTAGTACAAGACTGAATAGAAATGTAGGCAAAGGAAAAGCCTTCAACATTTTGCCTTGAAGATGTCACTTGTTCTTGTTTTTGATGCATCTAATTAATTCTCCATATTAAGGAAGATATATGTCTCGTTAGCTTGTGAAGAGATTTCCTTTATCATGGATTTTGAATCTTCTGAAATGCTTTCTCTGCATCATTAGATGGTTCATATTATTTTTCCCTTTAATCTGTTTGATAGTGAATTACATTGATTGGTTTTCATACGTTGACCCAGTTTTGCATTCCTAGGATAAACTCAACTTTGTCGTGAAGTTGTTAACATTTACATGCAGATGGAGAAGTTGTACAGTGTGTAAGGGTGAGGAAGCAGACCTGAGGGAGACTTTCTGTGTTCTGATTCCAGTTATGCTACTTCTCTCTCTGTGATTCTGACTTTGGCTGGTTCAGTATATGACTTTATAGTACCTCAATTTCATCATAGTTAAATGCAGATAAAAATCATAAGACCTATCCCATAGGGCAGTGATGAAGATTAAGTTTAATAATTCCTAGAACATAGTACCTGTTATTAAATGGAAAAATTATAAATACAGACCTTATTTGCAATAACAACTAGAAAAGGAAATAAGTTCACTTATTACCCTAATTAGGTGCTTTAGCTTTAAATGATTTCTCATATTCTTTCTAAAACTTATATTTCCTTTGTTGCATAGAATAGATATCGCATAATATTGTTATGTTTTTATGAAAATAAGCAAATTTGTTACAATTAAATTCTTATACTTAAAGTGTTATATTTTAAAATAAATGTCGACTTCTAATATTTGTTTGATCACTGTGAAATGGAAATAGTTTTACTAATGTCTAATCTTATTTACATATTTCACTGGTAACTAATAAGGGCTTCTTGAAAAAGCTAGTTAATAAATTAATAATTCTTGCTGCTATGCCAAATTAATTATTCATTTAACTTAAACATTTATTATTATTTTTGTTTGAATCTTAGGTCACCCAAATGGATCATAATGTGAGTGGCGAAATTTTTCCTGACTCTTCGGGAGCCTCAAATACAATGATAGCAACTGTTTTCATATTGGCTTTGGATGGGCTCCTCTACTTTCTATTAACATTATACTTTGACAAAAATCTATCTTGTAAGCAGTATTGGATTTTTCTTTGACCTCTATAGTTATTTATAACATCAAATATGGTTTTAAGGTTATATGAATATATTTAAAAAATGAAGAATAAATCTTTTTCAACTCAGACTCAATAAGTTCTTTCTTTCTACTTCATAGTTTTAATGGCCCAAGAGAATTTTTATGTAAAAACAATTATTCTTCTGATTTTAATATAACATTTTAATTATACAGGGTGGCTACAAAGTTCATAGGCAATTTGCTATGTTAAACTATTTTAAATTGCACATGAACTTTATGGCCACTCTGTATAATAATGATAATTATAATACATAGGATAATTATGTAGTAATTAAATAATGCAGCAATTTCAAAACGTAACATCATTTAATTACTATATTACTTTCCCCATGTTTTTAAAGAGTGACACTTAGGATTTATATCAGAATAATATGAAATAAATTTGGTCTAAGGCCATTGTACCATGGAAGTGCTTCCTAATAAATGTTTACTTTGAATTATTATTATTATTATCAATTTTGTAATATATTGTTCATATTTACAGAAATGCATTAATTGCACAGTTGATTATCTTGCAAAACCCCCCAAATTTCACAGAAGTCCAAAATTTCTTCACACATGCTAGAATCAGAATGCCTTTTTCCTTGTACAATCTTATTTATCCTCTTATTTTATATGTTCCTTCCACTTTGAGTATATTTAAGGTTGTCATATATTGCTATGTATTTGCTTTTATGTATTCCTGTCTTCCTACTTCATATGACTTAGAGCTGTGGGCCCTTAATAAATAAATACTACTTTGTCTTTTTAGAATTTGAAAAGAATTTCATTGAAAATAGACCATAAATTTATCCTGGAAAAATGTTATTTCCCCATGTATTTTTCATTCACATATCTCCACATGAATATATGTATTTCAGTATTACATCCAGTGGGATATCATGGTCAAATTATTTAAGTTTGAAGAACACGTCTATAATTATTTTTATGTGCTATATTAAGTCTTTGGTTTTTCCCAAATATTTGATTTCCGTCATTCTTCCAATGCCTTTTAGATCATATTGATTTAAACCTTTGATTTATATCCTGTTTAAAGTTCTGTTACATTGTTTAACTTTTACAATATGTTATTTCCTTTGAATTTTCTTTGTTTACTTCATTTCCAAGTTTCCTTCTCAATAATAACTAGGATGTTAGAAGGAAAAGAATTTTTCTAGGTAGGACATTAGAAGAAAAATAAATTTTCTAAGAGGCTTGAAAGTGTAAGCCATTCTGCATTGTTGTGAGCAAGCCTTCTTTGTTCACTGTTTTAATATTACTGATCTGATATTGTGTTGCCTCTTGATTAACTAGGTGAAAGTGAGCGCCGCTGTGCTCCATTATTTTTCCTGAATTCCTCGTCTTGTTTTCACCACCAAAGGACTGACAATAAGGTCATTGAGAAAGAAGTAGATCCTGAGCTTCCCTCTGATGATTATTTTGAGCCAGTAGCACCTGAATTTCGAGGAAAAGAAGCCATCAGGTACATCTCACATACAGTTATGCTAATCTGTGAGTGCAAGGGTAAGGAATTATTAGGCAACAGCAGCAAGAAAAGAGATTGGTTTTTGTCAACATCACCTGAACTGTTCCATTGCCATCACCACCAACTTCTGTTACTTCATAGGAAACTTCTCCTTAGCAGCTCTAGGTGATGCTACTTGTTGTAATTTATTTTGTCTCCTGTCCCCCACCTCTGTTTAAAACTTCTTCTCATTCTCTGAACTCCTTCCTCCATGGTTTCATCTGGTTTATATGGTATGGCAAAAAAAGTAAGAAATTTGGAATCAAAAATTTGTAAATTCTAATATACACTTGTCTCTCTCTTGATGTGTAATCCTGGAAGAACAAGCAAGTGTTCCAGTGTGTCAGTGTCTCCCGTGAAACAAGAGTAACATTCACTTTGTAGGGTTCTTATGGGATTTGGTGTAACGGGGTCGTATGAGGAACACTTAGAATATCTATGCTCTCAACCCCTCCCTACCTCCACTGATTCTAACTCAGTAGATTTATGATTGAGCCCAGGCATCTGTGGATTTTAAAGAGCTTTGTAGATTTTTCTACAAAATTTGCAACAAAGTTAAAAAAACCATTTACTTGTTTAGCAGATGTTTTTGCTATGTATCAGCCATATGCCTAATTTTCACAAAAACCCCACGAGGTAGATACTTTTATTTTCCCCACTTTATAAATGAGAAAAGTGAAGTGCTGGAAGGTCAAGTTTCTTGCCCAGTGTCATGTGACTCATAAATAGGGAGCCAAGATTGGGGTCCAGACAGCCTGGCTCTCGAGTCTGTGATCTTTTACATCTGGATAATGTGGTCAGGATAGGGTAGAGCTATTAACTAGGCGTTACGTTGTCAAAGGCATATCAAATACCCTAGTTTAGGGAAATTGAGGGAGAGACATTATTTTTCTTTAAAAAATTATAAGTTATGGGCAGTGCCTGTGGCTCAAAGGAGTAGGGCACTGGCCTCATATGCCAGAGGTGGCGGGTTCAAACCCGCCCTGGCCAAAAAAAAAAAAAAAAAAAATTATAAGTTATAAATAAATTTAGGCTTTCAAGTTAACATATTCACCACCCAGGTTAAACACATGTAAAGGTAATTATAATATTTGCTTTACCTTTTTGATGAATATACATATATGTTTGTCTAGAGCCCCCTGTATTATTTTTTTCCCCTCAGCAGAATTGATCTTCATAATGGATTTGGCATTGACACTCCACCTACATCTTTACATAGTAGACCATGTGCTTACAGCCCTAAACAATGCCTGCTACAGCTGTGTGTGTTCTAAAAATAATCTATCAATGGTATCAAATTGTACTTATGTTTTTCCAGATGGCTTTTACACTAAACATGTGCTTTTTGAGAAGATTTCATAGTGATAACTATAAGCTAATGCATTAATTTTAACTTTTATAATATTCTAAGATACGAATCTACCATTTTCATTTATCTTTCTCACACTGAAGAATATTATGGTTGTATCTATGTATGTATTTATTTATTTGCTCTTACAATGTTTCAGTGTATATTCTTTAAGAATAAGGCAGATTATATATACACATACATATATGTATATGATGGAATATATAAAGGTGGATTTGTGTATATATATGTGTGTGTGCGTGGGAATGTCTGAGTGCATGCATTCACATGCATTTGTGTATGGCACACCCGACAGAAAAGACAAGGACCTCTAAGCTTTGTGCAAGATGTAAGAGGTGGTTTGGTGGTTCTTACACATAAAATATGAGACAGAAGATGCTGCAAGATGTCACAGGACAGACTTCATGTACAAAATAGCCTTGACTTTCTCTTTGAGGCTGATAAGGAAATCCTGAAGAATATTAAGGAGTGAATAAAATGGTTTTTAAAATAACAGTTTAAAATGGTTTTTAAAATGGAAGAAAGATTCTAGGGGAATAAACCAGAAGTAGGTGAAATGATTAGAGGCAATACCCAAAAGGAGAATTAGTGAAGAACTTAAGAAGGTTCTGGGACCATTAACTCCCATTTGGAGTTAAATTTTATAAGAAATGAAAACTGATTGAATGGGTAATGTGTCTGAGTAAGAATTAAGAAGAGAATAATTGAGTGTCAATCAATTAATATGAATTCAAAGTGAATCTTCGAGGGACATCCCCAGGCCTCTGTTCCCTTTGGAATTCTAATGTGTGTTCGTTTGCTAGCAACTGATTTAGAGGGGGTGTGTGTGTGTTGGGGGGAGAGCTTGAACCAAACAATCTAGCCAGCAACACATTAACTGTGTGAGTTAGTGAAAAGTGTGGGGTCAAGATAGGTTAGTGGTGAAGCCATGAGACCCAATGAGGCAACTCATTGACAAGAGTCTAGAATAGAAAGAAAACCAATTAGGAGGGATGCAGACACCTTTAACAAAGAGGAAGTCATCTACAGTGACTCAGAATCCAGTAAGTAAGGGTCTTTGCTGCATTTGGTGATTAGGAGGTCACTTATGATTTCAGTAGGAAGAGGTCCACGGGAGTGGTGAGTTCAGAAATCAGAGTGTGATTGAAGGCAAAAGAAAGGGAAGGATGAAAAAATGACAAGTTTACATTTTTAAGAATTTTATAAAATAAAGGGATGAGAGAAATTTGTTCATATTTGAAGCAGAGTTAGAAACCAGAGAGGACATGATATAAGACATGGGTCAAGACTAGGAAGGAAATGAAATGATGGTTGAAAACTTTAGGTAACTGAGCTGATCTAGAATAGGACTAAAGAACCAACCCTCCTAAGGCTATAGGAAGAAAATGAGGATAATAATGGCACATTCCACTTTTCTAGGCAAAATACTAATAGTCCAATTGTGACTTTCTAGAGAGACTCTTTTATTTTCTATCTCAAGGGAAATTACCAACCAAAATCAGTCTTTGCCTTTTTGAATAAACTGGTTCTGCGATCTCATTTCACATAAAATTGTTGGCTGCGTCTATCTCTGACTGGGGTTATTCATAACTTGTGCAATTCTTTCTTTTGTTATTTCAGAATCAGAAATGTTAAAAAAGAATATAAAGGAAAATCTGGAAAAGTGGAAGCATTGAAAGGTAAAGAAAAACATTTTATTTTTTAATTTATTCTTATTTCTTTCTCACAGAAAAGTGGAAATAATTCAGTGTGGAAAATTTGAAAATGTAGCTAAGCAGAAAAGAAAGAATACAAACAATCTAACTCTAACACCTGGACATTAATCATGTTAAGAATTTGTTGTAAGATTCTTCCAGGTATTTCATAGATCTATAAATTTGCAAAAATGGGATCTTATAAAGAAAACTATAATTTCACTTCATTTTTAAAGATAAATATGCTATAAACATTATTTTATACAGTCTCACTCTGAAGAAAGAACACCTAGACTTGGTTTCTGGTAATTTTTTAGAGTAGTCAGGGAATTTATATAATTCATATGTACCAGTGAGATTAACGAAAATGAGATGAGCAAAACCATTGACTATGAATTCAATTTCACAAGTTAATATCTTATGGCAAACATGGTCTGTAACTTTAAATAAACAAACGTATTTTGATACTAAATTGTCTAATAAATATGGTTTTCTATAGCAGAAACTTAAGCAAACATCAAAGTGAGCAGCTACATTTCACAGAGGACAGCTTACTTTTATTAAAAATATTTTTTAGGAGGAAAAGTATTAATTTTTACAAGAGACAGAAGCTTAAAAGCTGTTAAAGAAAGGCCTTGAACCTGCTACAGGTCGAAAGTTCTCTGTCCATTGTGTTGATCTTGTATTTATTTTCTAATAAATGTAACATCTTTCAAATCAATCTTATTTCTTCCTTTGAGATTAGGTCTTTGAGAATTTAGTGTATGTGTGTAGTTTTTCTCATCAGATGCCATTTAGATCCATGATTTCTTTTTTTAATTTAAGCTCAGGTTGCATTTAAGTGATTTTAAAGTTATAATTTAAATTTTCCAAGCACATTATGAGCTACTTTTGTATTCATAAAATTTCTTTTTTTTCGAACTTCAACTTCTTTAAGAATTTCTTCCATTTTTTAAAAGAAGCAGCATATGTAAAACTAAAAGCATTGGACATCAATGCATAAAATACGTATGAATTGGAACTGGGTGGGAAGTAGTGAGGAATGATGGGTTCTCTCAGCCTTCCCTTCCTTATGTAGCTGATCCCCATGGCAACTCTGCAACACTTTTGGGGGCACACTTTCGAAACCCCCTATTTACAGCTTATTTCTCAGGTGCTACATACCTTTCCATCATATAGATCCCATGATGAACTTAGTTAACACATTAGTGTATGAAATTCAGTTTGTTTCCAATTATTCACCGTCATAAAAAATACCAGAATGAATATTCTTGTTCAGTTTTTGTAAATGTCATTATTTCCTGAATATAAATTTTTTAGAATCAGAGTTGTTCAAAGAAATCATATTTTTAAGATTCTCGATTCATATTTGGAATCATTTCTCTCCAAGATTATAATAATTCATACTCCCACAAGCAATGTATAATTAATATGAATAACAACAAAAATAGTAATAAACACTTAAAGTTCATCGAGGACTCTGTGTGTGCTGGCTGAGAACGCTGCTGCGTGAGTTACATGAACTTGTTTCACTTAATCCTATTAGAAGTATTTTAACATCTCTCTCTCTCTTTATGGTTGAGGAAACTGGGGCTTACGTTTCATTTTTCCAGTTAATATGGGTCACTTCCAGGATAGCCAGAATCACTTTTCTTTTACTCTTGAAAACATCCTATACTTTCCATTAACAAAACAATGGAAATTAAAATGATCCCAGTATTATTAATTAGATAATCTTTTTGATGAATTTGAAAGATCACTCTATTAATCTTTATTTTTATGCTTACATTGGTCCATGTTAGACTTCCATTCTATTCCATTGATCACTGTATCCTCCACCAGTCATGTATTATTTTAATTATTATAGTTCAGCAATGTATTATTTTGGCAATTAAGAAAATGTTGAACATTGTGTATTTTAAGCTGTTTAAACAATGAGAAATATATGTCTAAATAGTTTTATTCCATGTTTTGGACAAACCCTATCAAATGCCCTCCTATTTATAATTTTAACATTTTATTTAAAAAACAGATTTGCTATTTGACATATATGAAGGTCAAATCACAGCAATACTGGGCCACAGTGGAGCTGGCAAAACTTCACTGCTAAATATTCTGAATGGATTATCTGTTCCAACAGAAGGTAAGCAAAAAGAAAGTTCTTCACAGCAAGATAACTGGTAATAGAATAAGGTCATAGGTATGCCCGTATCATTATACACTTGATGGTTTAATGTTTATTTCATGCTGTTTCCCAGAACTATGTGATTTTGAATGTATTTTGTATTTTTTCACCGTTTATAAAAATAGCCATCTTTATTCTATTGTGTAATATTTTTATAAATATATACATTGTCAAAAATAATTAGGATGATTGTTAATAAATTATGAAGTCATCATTTCAGATATTTGTAAATATATACCAATTTTTTTTATTGAGATCCATGAATATTAATAAAATGTCTTATCTTGCCAATATGAATTTTTTAACTTCTATTCTTAGGATCAGTTACTATCTACAATAAAAATCTCTCTGAAATGCAAGACTTGAAGGAAATCAGAAAGATCATTGGTATTTGTCCTCAATTCAATATTCAATTTGACGTTCTCACTGTGAAGGAAAACCTCAGCCTGTTTGCTAAAATAAAGGGGATTCACTCACAAGAAGTGGAACAAGAGGTTAGATGGGCATGCCGCCGGGTCCACTAACTACCAACCATTAACCAACTTAAATCATAACCACCTAGTTTCCTTCAATGATTCGTGCCCTGTTGTGAATAATATTTGGGCAAAGAAGTCCCATAAAAAGTGTCCACTGTTTTACTGGCAGTTAAAATAGTATACTATGAATTGTTTGGATTTTGAGCCTGGTATATTTTTTCATACAATAGGTACAACGAATTTTGTTGGAATTGGATATGCAAAACATTCAAGATAAAGTGACTGAACATTTAAGTGAAGGACAGAAAAGAAAGCTGACCTTTGGGATTGCCATTTTAGGAGATCCTCAGGTAAATGAGATTATTTCCAGGGAGGAAAGCAGATAGAAGGTCCCTAAAACATCAAGTTCTCTTGCTACTAAAATGGTAGAGCTTCTGTTGTAATGTTATCAAGAGAGAACCTGTTAGGTTTAACTCTAAATATAAGTATACTGGAGACAATAGCTGGATGCTTACTATTTTGGGGGACGTTTAAGTTGTTTTTCGTGCCATCATGTGGAAACAGTTAACCCAGAAGAGAGACATAATTTATGTATCTTTGTTCTCTGCAGGTTTTGCTCTTAGATGAACCGACTACTGGATTGGATCCCTTTTCCAGGCATCAAGTGTGGAGCTTCCTGAAGGAACGCAGAGCAAATCGCGTCATCCTCTTCAGTACCCAGTTCATGGATGAGGCTGACATTCTGGCTGGTAATTCTTGGTTTTATCTCAGGATTTGAGAGATTTAGAAGTCATGTTTATTCCAGTATAACAGCCCTATCCTCATTCCCTGGTGTGCTATATTCTATAGCAGTCTAGGAGGTGAACAGCAGGAGTTGAGTTCCAACGTGGAATTCCTGCCTGGGTTGTACCATTGCTAGGTTGTGACCACTACTGAAAAACTGTGATTACTTTTTCAGGTCAGCTGTCACTTAATTTAAGCATTCAAATCTTTAGCATATATTTGGTTGAAGAATAGTCACTCATACTCTAGTGAGAGTGCAGCATAGCCCTGTAATCTTGATGCTTTTGTTCAGGATGTACTGGAGAGTACAAACATAGACTCGTGTTCATGAGCTTATTTTGAATGCATCAGTTTTAACCTGTGTTTCCGATTTTAAAATGCACCTTGCCTGTAGTTTACATCCGTGGAATTCTGAGCTTTGGCTCCCCATTGTTATTTTCTAGAATGGGAAGACATGACTCCTAATATCTTTTCTCATGTGTTTCTATTTACTCAGATAGAAAAGTGATCATGTCCAATGGGAGATTGAAGTGTGCAGGATCTTCTAGTTTTTTGAAGAGAAAGTGGGGTCTTGGATATCACTTGAGGTAAAAAGACTTTGGGGCTAGATTGGATATATGTGTTTTCAAAACTTGAATATCAAAAATGTGGACAGTCATGAAAGAGAACAGGCTTTTTGCTTCATCTTGGTCATACTGGACTGATCAGGGTTTTCTGATGTTTCTGCCTTCTCCAATCTTATTAATGTTAATAGTGGCCAACATCTCAGTATTACAAACCAAGGCTGGCTGCCGACAGCAGGAATACTACGTCGTGGACCATTTTTCCAGGGAGCTGTTCTGTGTAGCCTAAACATCAACTTTCTCCCCACACTCCACTTTCCTCAGTTGATCCATATAATTCTGTTTTTATACTTTCATAGGGCACGAAACAAATCATTTCAGAAACTGGTATCAATAGGGAATAAATTTGGGGGCAGAGTGGTGGCAACTGTGTCTGATGAGAAAGCATATATCCAGCCCAAAAGAGTTTTTAAAAATAAAGTCTATGGCCAAACAAAACCTGGATATGGGCCATATTTTCCTAATAGCTGCTAATTTCTGATAGCTACGTGGTCTGGTATAATCACTTTCTCTAAGAGGTACTTTCTGTCTCTGTGTTCTCACCTCCATTTATCATCCTACTTAGTATATAACTTCAAGTTTATTATATATTCATTACATCTGTAGTTTGAGTTTATACATCTATGTATTGACCCTAAGATTTTTAAACTGATGGATCATCATTAATGTTATTATTTACTAATTTTGTTAGTTCCACAAAGCCATGGAAAGTATTGCTCAATGGCTAGAAATTTGGTAAGAGTTCTTTTGGGGTAGCAGTGGAGAACCTGCAAATGACTTGTCTTTTCTTTTAAATGTTAGCTTGTATAGGAATGAAACATGTGATCCAGAACAAATAACATCCCTCATTAATCATCATGTCCCTGATGCTAAATTAAAAATGGAAAGCAAAGAAAGCCTTGTGTATATGTTGCCCTTGGAAAGGACAAATACATTTCCAGGTAACTTAAAATGATTACAATGGAATAAAATTTGGGAACAAATGTTTACATCATTATGAATATTATAATTTCCATTGTCTAATGAATTTGGATTTTGTTTTAGGTTTGGTCACCTGAGAAGCAGAGCTTGAGATGAGGGTTTGGGTACAGTTAATTTATTTGGTAATTGATTCCTATAAGCACCAGCAGATAATGGGGGCATGAGAGAGCTACAGGGGAAGCCAAGAAGTTTGGCCACGGTTACAGTGGTGGGCAATTGAGGTATAATGCCACTGGGGGAAAATAAATGAATAGGTAAGTAATTGGGGTCAGAGTGATGTCACTGGGAGGTGAGGAAGCTGCAGTGAGTGTTCTCTCTTTATCTGTGGTTAAGGGATTCTTCTAGGAGTATTAACTTTCTGACCAGTTAGGATTACTCTGAACAGGAGCTTTGCAATCTTATGAGGCCAGATAAAAGATCTCAGGTAGATGTTTTTAATATGCAGATTCACTGTGTATAGGTGAGTGTTAAAAAGATTTGGTGGGATATTTTTATCCTGTACAATAGTCTTCCCTTCTCTGTGAAGCACACATGGCTCCAAAACTCTCAGTTCATGCCTGAAGCTGTGGGTAGTGCAAGACCCAAGTGCCATCAGTCGGAACACATGTCATGCATTCTACCCCCAAATTTAAAGTCTTTTCCATTTTAACTAAGCACTTACAATGCACTGATCCAGTCTGAGGTGTAACAGCAAAGTAAGCTCGAATTTCTTTTGCCTTCTTCCCAATTTCATGGATAGAAGATTCATTCTTACCAGAGATATTAGAAACCTGAGCATAAATTTTTTTTTCTGTTCTTATTAAGTCAAGAACTTCCTCCTTGTCACTTAAAGGAAACCTTTTATGGGTTCTCTTTGGCATATCCAGATTGCCAGCATCACTACTCTAGCTCTTTGGAGCCCTTAAGTAAAATAAGAGTTACTCGAACACAAGCACAGCAGTCTCGTAACAGTTGATTTGAGGGCCATCACTAAGATGGCTGCTGGGTAACTAGCAAGTGGGTGGGTACAGAGGTAGCCACGGATCTTCTGGACAAGGAGATGATTCATTTCCTGGTTGGGAGTGGGTGAGACAGTGCAAGCTTTCACTATTCAGAAGGGCATGGCATTGAAAACTTCTCAATTGTTTATTTCAGAAGTTTTTCATTTAATATTTTTGGACCACAGTCAACTGGGGGTAATTGAAACTATTGAAAGTAAAACCATTGATAAGGAGAGATTGTTCTATTTTAATTCAACAGTACTTGCATTATTTTTCATATAAAAACACAGTTTGTTTATTGATTTTTTTATTGAGACAGAGTCTCACTGTGTCACCTGGGTAGAGTAATGTGACATCACAGCTCACAGCAACTTCAGACTCTTGGGGTTGAGTGATCCTTTTGCCTCAAACTCCCGAGTAGCTGGGACTCCAGGTGCCTGCTACAATGCCAGGCTAGTTTTTCTATTTTTAGTAGAGATAGGGTCTCACGCTTGCTCAGGCTGGTCTCAAACTCCTGAGCTTAAGTGATCCACACACTTCGGCTTCCCATAGCGCTAGAATTACAGGTGTGCGGCCCTGAGCCTGGCCTATTTACTCTACCACATTGTTAAACATAGTTTCCCAGCTAGAAGGATAACAATACCATCTTAGGTTTCCTTTGATAAATAATCCTAAGTATCACTAACTCTTGCACAATGCTTACTGTGTGTTAGGCACTGTTCTAATGGTTTCATATATATCAACTGATTTAGTTCTCACAGCTGTTCTGTGAGGTGAGTGGTATAATTTTCCCTGTTTTAAAAATAAGAAAGTGTGTTTCAGTCTCTTCTGATTTAAATAGCATCCTTTTTAGGGTGGTGCCTGTGGCTCAAAGGAACAGGGCACCAGCCCCATATGCCAGAGGTGGTGGGTTCAGACCCAGACCCAGCCAAAATAAAAATAAATAAATAAATAGCATCCTTTTAATTTAAACATTTGATTTATTAAAAGTTTAATTCCATATAAGCCCAACTTAAATAAGTTCTTTTGAATGATTTGGTTTCTTTAGGCAAATACTTAAGAATGTCAATTTTAGCCCCTTTCCAATATGGCCACACTCTCTGTCCTTACAGGAGCATGGAAGACAGCATTCTCAGATTGGTGGACCATACAGTATTATTTTGTTTTTGAACTAAGGCCCCATGAGGTGTAGCCAATCTACTTCCTTTTTTTGGTGAGAGGAGGATAAGGAATTATATAAGTGGCCACTGAAGTCCATAAAAGGAAGATGGTCAAAAGCTTTTCAAGGAGAACAGAAAAGGAGCTGTCTATAGGGCATTGAGTGAGAGGGCAGGTTGGGATGGATAGGGTTGTATGACTAGATGGAGACTGGTTCTGTGGAGCCTCAGAGGTTTTACTATTGACTTTGTTTTTTATGTTAAATATACTGAGACACCACTGAAAGACCCACAAAGAAGGAAAACATAGAATATGGGTAAAGGTCTGTGGTTTGACAATTAAGTTCTTGAACTCACCCTAGAAAAATACTAGATACCTCATTGCTGAATATCACTATGTTTACCTTCAAAGCACTCCCCTTGGAAAGCTATACATTGACACTGGCACCTAATTCACCATTCAAAGCAAATTTGGAGCTCTTTTTCAGGAATGGCCATCAGTGTTGTCATTATATTAACCTTGATGTTCTGAATGTCATCAAAATGTCTTCCTTTCAACATTTCCTTTATCCTCCAGTAAAGAAAAGTCAGTGGGCACAAGATTAGGGGAGTAGGATGGAAGTTCCTAAATAGTTATTTGTTTACTGGCTAAAAATTCCCTCAAAGACAGCCATGTGAGCTGGTCCATTGTTGTGATACAAGAGCCATGAGTTGGTGAAAAGTTCAGGTTGTTTTCATCTAACTTTTTAATGCAGCCTTTTTAAATAGTAAAGTTGGTAAACTGTTTGTCTAGTTGGTAGCAATTCATAATGATAATCCCTCTGATGTCAAAAGAGGCTAGGCAACATTCTTTTACCTCTTGATTTGGACCGATGAAACTTTTTTGGTCACGGAGAATTGGTTCACTTCCACTGTACACTTTGCTGTTTTATTTCAGGGTTGTATTGGTATGCCCATGTTTCATTGCCAGTGATAACATGGCCCAAAACATCGTCTTGCCTCTCGAAAAAGTCTTGGCAAACTTGAACTCTCGTTTGCTTTTGTTACTCGATGAGTTCCTTCAGGACCATTATTTTTCACACTTTTCTCACACTAATATTTTCCCAATTGTTTCTCTATTGATCTTTACTTGGTCTGCTATGCTTCTCACACTCAGCCAGTGATTTTGACACAATATTCAATGAAAGTTTTGCTATGTTTTTTAATCAGTTCTGCTTGGTACCAGCTGCCCTGACCTCTCCTCATCAGTGACACATTCTCTTTCTTTGGAAAAACATTGAAGCCACTTGTACACTGCCATTTTCTTCATGACATTATCCCCATAAACTTGGGCTAACATGTCTCTGATTTCACTTCCACCCTTGCCAAGCTCAACTAGAAATTCAGTGTTTTTCATTGCTCTCATTTAAGCTCTGACATTCTCATGATGGCACATGAAAACATGCAACAGCAATAATGAATGTCACTCAGCAAGACACAGCCCACACGTTGACAGGAACACCAGGGTGAGACTTTGATATGAAGTCAAACCTTCATATCATGAAACCTTACCAATGTGTTTGGACAGTGCAGCCTGCATCAGCACGTGGTGGCAAGCCTGCAAAGTGAATCGTCAGACCTCCATGTGTGGATTTGCAGTGTGGTGGTGAGAGGAGGATAGTTCTTCAGATGCTCATATTTCCGCAGAGATACCCCTAGGAAGCTCGTAAACTGAGGTAGAAGATGGCGTGCAGACAGCTTAAGTGTAGAGGGATAGATTTAACACAGCCACAAAAAGGTGAGAGCATTCCGAGGACATTTTGTTTTCTACTTCTGTGATATTCCAAAGACAGGATTTTCTGAGCAATATTCTGCATCATCTTTTAAATAAGTACACATTTAGTTGGTTCAGATATTGATGTAATTTTTCAAAGTATCTATTCCTGCCTTTTGCCTTAGATCTGTTCAGTGATCTTGATAAGTATTCCACCCAAGGAGTGATGGGTTATGATGTTTCCACATCAACTATGGATGAAGTTTTTATGAAACTAGAAGGAAAATCAACTATCGAACCAGGTAAAGCCATTTGTACAATTCACAGACGATTTCCAAATGATCACATGTTAATTTAGTATTTATAGTTTCTTATACATGATTCACACTGAGGAATGTGATTCATCCCACATTTGCCTCTGTTCTTTAAGATGGGCTGTCCTTGTTTCTTAGCATGATTACTAGGACTGAATGTAAAGCCCACATGTCTCTGAAAACTACCTCCTAGTTCAGCAGTCTTCTCCTTTCCCTAGATGTTCACTGCTTCCCGGTTACTTTGATTCTCTAAGAGTTTCTTAATCTGGGGCATGAGGTCTGAGCAGATTTTTAAAAATAAATAAATTGCTCTTAGCTTTTCAGTACCACATGTATACAAAATTCCACTGAGTTCCTAATGGAGAGAATTCTTAGCATCAGCTCTAGTACATTTTAATGGGTAAGAATAAGGACTGTCATTTATGGAGAGACTTCTACGCCAGACACTTTGGTTAATGTGTGGATACACCTTGATGTGTACCTTCAATGTTATCTTCCTACAATCACCTTCCCACAAGTGCCATTGGCACCATTTTATAGATGTGAAAATCAGACCTAAGGCAGTTAAATGATCTTCCACAATCACACCACTTGTAAGACATAAATGTGGGGCTCACATACAGGTCTGATGGTTTCAGACCATCACAGCTAGTGACCCTTCCCCTAAACTGCACAATTATTGATACTTTAGTAAGAATGGAAATTTAGGCAAGAATTGGCTGTTCCTATGGAGAAGATTTCTTGAAATCCTTCAGAATTTTGTTACATGTGGGACTTTCTTTGCCTTTTTAAAGACTAGGGATGATGAGATCACCCTTTTTGGTGAATTCTTCTTTTGATGTGAACTCAGTATGCTTTCTGGTTTATAGAACATGGACGTTGTAATATGTTTTTTATATTGCTGACGTCATCACCACAAACATTCTAAAGCATTTTTTCTCAGAGTTTTATGTTCATATGCATCACCATTGGAAATTACACATAAAACTTAACTGTAGACAGAAAATGCAGAAAGCAGTGGTGAAGTACGAACTTAATAAATATTTAAAAAAGTCATCTAAACAACCCCTTTGAATTGGCTATAAAAATGAAAACAAATATAAAACAGTTTTTAATATTATGAATCATATTACCCTCAGGATGGGATTAATAATGTGTGTTTGTGATAGATTTTGAACAAGTGGAGATGGCAAGAGACTCAGAAAGCCTAGACGAAATGGAGCAAACTCACTCCTCTCTCCCTGAACCACGGAAGGCTGCGGAGGGCATGGGCCTCTGGAGAATGCAAGTCTGGGCAGTAGCATGGCTCCGTTTCTTAAAGTTAAAACGTGAAAGGAAAGGTTTTTTGATCCTGTGAGTATGAGAATGCTGTGGTTTTGTCAAATAATGAGTTTCAAAAGAGGTTAATCAGAACAGAATGAAGAACTAGAATGCAATACCCAGCATTTCTGCCAGGGGATGGATAAATACAGCATTTGATTTTACTGAAAGGGAGGACACCTGTATGTTAGCACTTAATTACGCTTATGCATACAGGTATGTTTGGTTTTCATTGTTTGATAACCTGGAGTTCATAAAGCAGTGGCTTTTGGGACTCAGCATGCTGAGGTGTAACTTTCAGAATTCTGCCACTTAGAATCATAGCTGGCATAAAGTAGATTTGACACTCAATAAATATTTGTGAAATGTCTGATAAAATTTTTAAAAAACTGCTATAGATTCATATGGTAATTTTTCTTTGTTGTTTAGACTACTGATATTTGGAATTGCAGCATTCCCTTTGATTGTGGAAAACATACTTTTTGTTGTATTTGATGAAAACTTTGAATGGGAGTTTAAAACTGGACTATACTTCCTCTCTCCTGGACAACTTCCCCAGGAACCCCGCACCAGCTTGTTGGTCATCAATAACACAGGTGAAAAGGAAAAGGAAATTTAAATTCAGAAATTAATTATTTCGTATTGTTTATTAGCATACATGGGGGAAGAAAATGTGTATTTAAATTTCATTCATAGAAAACAATGATGAGCAGCTGTATATATTTGCTCTGATTTTGGAGATAATAAAGATGATGGGGGAAGGGAAAAGGAACCTAGGTCACTATAGAACCCGAGAGAGTGAGGCTGCCCATCTACCTTACTGCCCTGTGCTATGCGAGAGGGGACAATGAACTTCTGTGCTGGCTGAGCCCTCTATTCTGAGATCTCTCTGTTACAGCAGCCTAGCGTATGCCACAAATATGAGACACACTGATTGCGGGGCGGAGGTTGTCTACCTGCACCACAGGCCCTCCCATGAAGTATAACAGTATACTACAAGAATACTTACCTGTGAATCCTTTCTCAATGAGTTCCTCAACTTTCTGATTTTCACACCTGTTTCTGATTTAAGGTTTTAATGCATCTTCTTTAAACAAATATATTTTTTTTCCTTTCTGTTTCTCATTCTTCTATTATTTCCATTTGGGTTTAGGAAAGTAAATTTTATTCACCCCACTACATAACACTGAGTCTTGCTGATCACACATTTAATTTCCAAGACTGGGAATTGTTTACCTATCGGCTTGTATGAGAGGCGAATCTTGCATGTCTTGTCCTTTTTAGTCATTCTGAAGACAGTATGTGGTGTTAGGTTATTTGTTTTTTTCTTTTCTGTTCTTGGTTGTTAGATATTTTATGATTTAAGTTTGGGGCTTCTGTGACATCTTGTTCCTCTTTTCTCCAAATGTGATGATCATGGGTAAGATGTTTATCGCAGGTGACCATATGGCTTCTTATGTCAAGAGACTGGGGATAGAAGGTGTGGCTGCCCCCAGGGTTCCCTGCAAACTTCTTTTCTTTCTTTCTTTCTTTTTTTTTTTTTTTAAGTCATTTGTACATAGATCATAAATACATTTATGCCACTATGGGATTCAATGTGTTGATTATTTGTACAAATTGGAGTTCTTACATCCTACTAATCAACATAACCTTCACCTCTTTTACCCAACTACAGGATTAAGACATTTGTGTTCTACACATGATAGATCCAACTTGTACTTGCAATATGCTCCATAGGTGTGGTCCCCCTAATAACCCTCCCTCTATCGACCCACCCCACTCCCTTCCCCTCTCCCTCCCCTTCCCTCCTTCATCCTAGGCTATAGTTGTGTTTCATTTTTCATATGAAAGTGTGAGTGATTGTAAATTGGTTTCACAGTAGTACTGAGTATGTTGGATATTTTTTTCCATTCCTCCTGCAAGCTTATTTTCTATGTGCGCTTTCCATTTGGGAGGAATCTGAATTTATCTCTATTTTCTGATCTCAGAGCCTGTGCTAAGTGGCCCCAGTATGAATTCCTCTTTAAAAGGCTAAATAAGAAAAAAAAAGTTTTAGAAAACTTTCTTTTCTTTTTATTCATTCCTTCCTGCCCTAATTGTTGTCTGGAGTTAACTTCAGGTTCTGCCCTATTGTTCTCATCAGATAACATCTCTTAGGAAGTAAATACAGGATTCTTTTTCTTTTTTTGACTCTATAATTTTCCCTTCATTTTATTTTATTTTTATTTGTTGTGTTAAGACATTTATACTCTACTCTTAGGTTTGATTCTTAACCCCAGTGGCACCTGCAGCTGCTGTTGGCTCTGTGTGGACCTGGGAGGGGTCTGACTTCTCATCTTGCTCCAGGTCTGGTTAGCCAACTCATAACCATCTTGCATTCATTCACTCTGAGCTTAGATGTCCTGGAAACTGGTTGTACCTTCACTTGTTTGCTCCTGTGGGCACCAGACTGGATTCTTCTCAGCTCCTATTTCTCTGTCAAACTGTCTCATCTGTTTTCTTCCTTAGAGTCATATGAAGCAATCTGATCTGATAATAGCGCCCTTTCCATTTTTCCACTTCCATTTATATTTGTATGCTGTATAAATATAAAAAAATGCTATATATGTAAATATGTAAAAGAAGTAAAATATATGTGTTATGCAGGCACACATATTCACCTTTTCATGTTTTGAAGGAAAAGGGAGAGAGAAGTGTGTTTTCCTGGCTATTTTAGGCTGAACAATCTGAAGTACTCCTTATAAAATTATTGTATCTCCATAGATACTCAGTTCAAATGTATTTACCAAAAGTCATACATAGAATTATTTGTTTTTATGATCACACAGTCAACTTGCATTAAACAGATTTATGAAGCTAATTGATTGTAGCCTAAGTTTTGGTAAACAGAAGATGGTGGAGTGATTTCTCCTGGCTGGGCCAATTTTATTATTGTGATGCCCAAAGAAACATTCCTTCTCATCCTATGCTACAAATATTGACTTTATTTTATGAGGTTTACTTTAAAAGTTTGGCACACGGCCCGGTGCCTGTGGCTCAAGTGGCTAAGGCGCCAGCCACATACACCTAAAGTGGTGGGTTCAAATCCAGCCTGGGCCCGCCAAACAACAATGATGGCTGCAACCAAAAAATAGCCGGGCATTGTGGCAAGTGCCTGTGGTCCCAGCTACTTGGGAGGCTGAGGTAGGAGACTCGCTTGAGCCCAGAAGTTGGAGGTTGCTGTGAGCTGTGATGCCAGGGCCCTCTACCCAGGGCTTCAGCTTGAGGCTCTGTCTCAAAAAAAAAAAAAAAAAAGTTTGGCACATATTTTATTTATTTTATATGGCCTTTTGTTATTGATTTCATACTAGAATCCAATATCGAAGATTTTATACAGTCACTGAAGCATCAAAGTATACTTTTGGAAGTAGATGACTTTAAAAACAGAAATGTCAGTGAAGGCTTTTCATACAGTGGAGCTATCATAGTTTCTGGGAAACAAAAGGTATGTTTGCTTCTTAGTTTTACTTTAATGACAAAGAAAAAGAAGCCGTAACAACTTGCTGCCTGTCTGAATTTTTAAAAAGTTTCAGAAAGTCACAGCTTAGCATATGGCAATTGGACTCAGAAAAACATTGTGGGTTGTTATTTAATGAACTGTGACGCTTACATAAGTTTTTGTAAAAGATGTTCTCTCAACTTTGAATTAGATAATTTTTATATTCAAAAGAAGCAAAATTTAATTGTACTGTTCAAGCTTAATGAAAATGTTACAACTTATAATCATCAGCCAATGTAATTATGGGTTCAAGGAATCTTATTCAATAGCTAACTACCTAAATGATGTTTTTGTATATCAAGAATGTATATTCCATGAAATCTCTGTGATAAAAGTATTCTCAGCCTGCTATCTTAGCCAATTTCATTTTGTGTAGAAGGATATAAGCCACAGAAATTCATTAAGGAACAAGGCTTTTGAAAAATACATCTTAATCTGGCTGGGTGCCTGTACCTCAAGCGGCTAGGACACCAGCCACGTATACCAGAGCTGGCAGGTTTGAATCCAGCCCTGGCCTGCCAAACAACGATGACAACTGCAACCAAAAAATAGCCAGTCATTGTGGCAGGCACCTTTAGTCCCAGCTACTTGGGAGGCTGAGGCAAGAGAATCACTTAAGCCCAACAGTTTAAGGTCGCTGCGAGCTGTGACACCATAGCACTCTACTGAGGTCAATATAGTCAGACTCTATCTCAAAAGAAAAAAAAAGAAAGAAAGAAAAAAAGAAAATACATCTTAATCCTAAAGGCTCTTAAACCTTATGTACATTCCAATAAAAATAAGGGACCAAATTGAATGAAGCTATCTCTTTATTTCTTGCTACAAGAAGAATAAAAACAAAAACAATTCTTTGAAGATATGCCATTGAATTAAGTCCCACCTAAACTAACTAAATGCAGTATGTTATAAAGGATGTAATCCCTTTGTGCCAGCTTTGAAAAACTACTTTGGTAGCTGATTTTTTTGTTATTTACTTATTTTATTATTATTATTATTATTATTTTAGAGACAGAGTCTCACTTTGTCACCCTCAGTAGAGTGCCGTGGCATCACAACTCACAGCAACCTCCAGCTCTTGGGCTTAGGTAATTCTCTTGCCTCAGCCTCCTGAGTAGCTGGGACTACAAGTGCCTGCTACAACACCAGACTTTTTTGTTTGAAGTTTAGCCAGGACTGGGTTCGAACTCGCCACCCTCAGTATTTTTTTTTTCATCTGAGCTTGATGTAACATATTTTCTATATGAATGGTAATATTTTAAAAATATTTAATCTCTTGATAAGTGCATGAATATTTTCATAAAGTATATAAACATTGCCTCAGAAAGTGTGAAAATGTTTCATGGGTAGTATAACCATGAATATTTTATAAGTTCCAACCTTATCTCCTACCCAGAAGATCAACGTTCCTCTGTTTGCCTGCTGTAAATGGATTGTGTCTCTGTATCAGGGAGACTTTTTTTTTTCTTTTAGACAGAGTCTTACTTTGTCACTTCCTGTAGAATGCCGTTAATCATAGCTCACACCAACCTCAAACTCTTAGGCTCAGGTGATCCTCTTGCCTTAGCCTCCCAAGTAGGTGGGACTACAGTCACCTGCCACAACGCCTGGCTGTTTTTTTTAGAGATGGGGGTCTCACTCTTGCTCAGGCTGATCTGCTCATCCTGGTCTCCAACTCCTGAGCTCAGGTGATCCACCCACCTTGGCTTCCCAAAGTGCTAGGATTACAGGCGTGAGCCACCTTGTCTGGCCTCAGGTAGACTTTTTAAACTTCACTAACCAAAGTTTTCTCATCAGAAAATGGGGACAAAATTATCTAAAATTAGTGATACTAATAAAAATCCCTGTTGAGTGAATGCTGACTTTGTGGTAGAGACTAATCTGCATGTATATAATCTCATTTAAACCATATAACAATCCATTTACTATCCCCTTTTATAAAGGAGGAAACTAGAGCTCAGAAAGTCAATTAACTCGAAGAGGGACACACAGCTAGAATGTGGTACCATTAGGATCTCACATATGTTATGTAAACCTTGCCTTTATTCTCTAAGGATTTAAAATTAACATTACTCTGTTTTTGTTGGTTTAAAGGATTATAATTTTTCAGTCGTGTGCAATACCAGGAGAGTACACTGTTTTCCTATCCTTCTGAATATTATCAGCAATGGGCTACTTAGAATGTTTAATCAGACAAACCATATTCGAATAGAGAGAAGCCCACATCCTTTTGTAAGTATTGGATTTATTGGCTCTAAACAATTAAAAGTTGGACAAATAGCCTATGTTTTCTCTCTTTAGCCTTTAAATACACATAATTGATTGTTTTTCCTGAAAATTAATTTGTCCTGACGTTTTAAGTAGATTGTTTCAAACAGAATAGGATTTTTTTCTTGCTAAATTATTATCAGAGAATTCGAAATTTCTTGTCAGGATCTGCTTCTGACACCACTTGTCAGGGCCCAGGACTGGCCAGGTCTCAGGCTCAGCTTAGGCAGGTTCTGGACGCGGACCGCTAAGCTACCTTGCTCAGG